ACATCTCTGTGAAAAGGGGGAGAGCCCACCAGCACTTTTATTTTTCCAGTTGAACCTCTGGAGAGCTTGGTTTACAATCACTAAAAGGGAACGAGAAGAAAGCTGCAGCCTTCCAGGAAGCTGGTAGAAGCTCAGCTATGCACGATCCCTGGGGTTCTGCTCTGGTGTTATCTATCTGCTCGAGGCCAATCATCATCTTCCTTCAGAGCTTTTCCACAGAGCTTAAAGCAAAGGCACCAGTAACCCACCTGCATTCAGGAAGCCAGGGTGCAAAAGCTAAACCATTCAGAATGTTCCCCAGGACCACGCAGTACGCATGGTGCTCTGAGAAAACTGCATCCAGCTGCCCCAGCAGCATTTCCAGAGATGTGCTTTCATACCAGCAAGGGCAGAAGGGCAGGAACAGAACATATAAACAACCCTGACACTTCCAGCTTTCCTTTTAACAAATTACTACAGCTACTGTGAAGAAGTATGAGCTCAGCTCATGGTTTAAACCCGCTGGAGCATTTCCAAGGCCTGGGTTTTGATAAGGCATCTTTTACATTAGGGAACAATGTAGTTCTGCATGGGGACTGTCTGCACCCTTGCTGAACTTCGCAAGCAGCGGTATCATTTTTTGTTTTGTCATCATTAAAACCCCGTTGATCCCACTCTTGGAAGGGCAAGATTGTTTGGGCATCAGCTTTTAAGGTAGAGGCAGTGGTGCCCTCACCCTGAAGCAGGGTCTTAGCTGCACTCACCAAGTCAGTAATGATCAGGGCTACGGGCTGCTGCCTGTGTATGGCCACACCTCTGCTGAATGGGAGCCATGCACATGGGAAATGCTGGAGGGCTTCTCACACCAACCTGCTGTCGGCTTCTGTTCTCCTCAGGTGCTGTCATGCAGCCAAAGCACTTTGAATCTCTGGCATAATCACCTCCCCTGTGGTTGCACACTGATGTCATAAATTCAGAATTATGATATCAGTGGAAGTTGCTGAAAAGGAGAAGCTAGGCAGGAAGAAAGGAGCCCTACAATGTTGACATCTATCTTTTTGAGAAACTGAATCCAGAATGAACAGCCAACAGCCAAGGTGATTGATTTTGCAGGCTCTTCAGGCTGCCTCCAGCAGGCACTTCCCTCTTTAACATGTCTCAGAAGCACGAGGGCAATGACAAAACCATTTAACATGACTGCAAAACTGATCCGGATTGTTAATTTTTGCTTCCTATCCCCAATAACAGCACAGCATGATGGAGATTTCTCTAGTCTAGATTTCTCTAGATTCTAGTCTGGAATCTAGAGCAAACTTAGCACATGCAGTGCTGATCACTGGACTCCAAGAGCAGCTGAGCCTCCTTTCCTCTGACTAAATGTTATTCCAGGTAATTCCACAGATGTTTATTTCTTAGATGCTACTGCCAAAAATCCATTCACATGCACAGGCACCCAGAGAGCAGGGAGCCATTCTGATGGTTGTAACCTCAGCACCTTGGGGCACAGATATGTCCACAATAAATGAATGGAAGTGTCTAAGTTAATTTGTAGAGAGCCAAAATGTGGTAAAAACAAACATGCTAATGTTGGATGGTGGAGCTGGTGGGAAGGAGCAATCTTTATGGAGTACATATGACATGGAACTTTCATAAACAGACAAAATACGAGGTCCTAAGGAAAGACCCATGGCCTCCAGTGCCAATGACAGTGTCACAATGCTCTGCCAAAAGGAGATACATGCTTACACCTTCCACAGCTGGCAGGAGACCAAGGAGAGCCCACAGTGCCGTGAAACATCCTGGCTGACGAAGGTCCCCCAGGAGGCTTTTAGAAATGAACCGTCGCTCTCGCAAATGAGAACAGGTCTACCAAATTTAGTGCTAGATGGGAGTTTTCTCCAAGCTGCCCTCAATACCTCAATGGAAATTACCACAATCTATATTTTAAGAAAGCTGTTCCATTAGGAAAAATTGTATTTGCAGCAAAACCGTATGACTAAGGAGAAACATAAATCCCTCTCATGAAGAACATGAACCAGTAACGTTCTTACTCATCCAGCAGTCGATCACATTCATCCAGAAGCAGACAGACCCTTCCTGTTTCAGTTGTCCTCACTCTCAGGACCTGATTTCTTACCTCCCACCTTTGGGGCTGTGCAGGGACCTGGGAACATCTTTTCTGCAGGGCAGCCCTCTGCAAGGTGAGCAGCACGGAAAGGATGATGCTGCTTCAGCACAGCGAGGAATCCAAGCCAGTAATGGGAGGAAAAGATTGCTATTTAGGCTTCTCACAAGCCTGTTCTTTTCACTAGTAATTAAAGTGACATTTTCCATGCCATCTGTAGAAATTTTGAGGATGCAATCAAGTGATCTGTCAACAGTGCTGGTTCCAGGGATGTAGGAGAAAACAGAACAGCTCCTGCTTCTCTGAGCTGAGCTTGAGGAAATGAGGAGTGCCAGCCTTTGCAGGACAGGATCTCTGGTCTCCCTTATGAACTCTTGTCACCTTAATCATTTTGAAGGGAAAGAACATATTCTAAATTTAATTCTTTTGAAGAACAAATTTAATCCAAGCTTTTCATATAGAAAATCTGACTTAGTATTAATTAAAATAGTTTTTAAAAAAATAACAAGTATTTTCTTCATGTATTCAGCATTTGAAATACCCTTTTTTTTTTTTTAGTTCACTAGCATTGAAAAGTTGTTTTTTCTTACATTTATCTTTTTGTGTGCTTTTCTTCTTGTTTGGTTTGTTCAGTACAGCAACTGACTTTATAGAACTCTTCTGCAGAAAATCAGCTCCTGCTGGATTTTAACCACTTGTCAAACCTCAGCACTACCATCAATATATTAGTAATAATTAATATTCAGATAATAATTCAAGTAAAAAATATAATTAAGTAGAACAAGGCTGCAGTTTTGCCATAATGTACACCCTTCAGGAATAAAATAAATACCTGAAAACAGTCGTAGGAGATAAACAAAACCATGAAAATCTTCTACTTGAAAATAGGTGATACTAAAAAGCAGATTGATTCTATGCTTGGCTTCTAAGCACATACAAGAGGGAGGAAAGTCTTCTGAAATCATAGGTATTGCTTTCTGAGTAGTTTAAGACTGAGTTAAATAGCTATCTTCAGCTCCAGTAGGTAATCACTCAAAAAATCCTCATGCTCAAGGATACACAAGATCCTCATCTTGGGCAAATGTGGCAGTTTTACACCAATAGAATCATGGAAGGAGGGCGAGGAGGAAGGAGCTGAAAGTAGATGCAAAGTCACAAATACTGATAGTCTAGAATCAAAGCAGCAGCATAAATAAGGATGCAGAAGGAAACCAGGAATTCAGCCCCCAAATGACCAGAGGTCACTGGTTTTGTAAGCAGTTAAGGAGAGCAAGACGTGAAGGCAAGGTCTAACTAAGGTAGATGTGCTCTGGGAGCTGAAGTCACAGAAGAGCCTGAAATGAGGGGAAGAGAAATAGGAACTGAAGCCTAAGAAAGCTGAAAGGGACAAGCTGAATGCTTGATAGATGACAGCAAAGGGGATGAATTTTTTTTTTTTTTTTTTTTAAAGCAAGTTAAACCTGCTTCAGCCAAGTTCAGAGGCAGAGAAGGATGTGAAGCCCAGCCATCCCTGTAAGTTGGAGAGCTATCCTTGCGCTGTATGGAAAGGCGAAGAAAAGGCAACTGCTGCAGAAACAGCATCAGATGAAGTAACATAGGTATAGGAGTCCTAACTGCAGTTGGAAGATTGAAATAAGTTGAAAAATAAGCCCTTTCTTTGCTCTCCTTCTACTTTTAGAGAGAGAAAAAAAAAAAAAAAAAGGACATATCTGAGATAAATAAATACAAGAACCAAAGAACAAGGGTGGAAAAACAGGGAAGAGTTGAAGATTATACATAACAATGGTTAAATTGTGTAGAATTTTGTGGATAATGAAAGGCAAATAACTTCAACAGTCTTCAAAAGAATATTTGGCTCCAAAAGTTACTCATCATTTGCCAGTTCTGCTAATACATTTGTCTTGTTTTCATAGAGGAACAAAGAGAGATTGAACAGTGAAAGTTAGAAACAGAGGAGCAGCAGGAACTCATGTGGGATGGGACTGTTGATAATCCCCTTTGATTAGTAACCCTAGGGATAAACTCCGTTATTTCTTTTAAGGAATAATAGCTTTAAGTGAAGAAGGGGATCCCAAATACAGCCAAAGAGGAGCACAGGAGAAGGGAGATGATAAAGGAACGGCCGACTCAACTGACAGCTCTTGTTTTCTCTGCTGCAACAACAAGGGAACTACGATTCTGAAAGCAAAAAAAAAAAAACCCTGAAAGGGTCCATGTGCCAAAGCAAAACGATTAATAAGCATGAGGTATGGTGACAATCAACTAGCTATCTACACAAAACCTGGCATTTGAATATTACAGCTTCTCTGGACTGGATTAACATTAGGAAGAGTAGAAATATGCCTTAATTTCACAGATGTCAAACAGTGGGAGATGGATGTTGCCACTGCAAGAAGCTGTTCCACTACTACTCTGTCCATGTATTTCCTTCACATTGCAGCTTCCTCTGCCTTGGTACAAACATTCACACAGCCACATTGCTAAACCCAGGGAGACAATCGAGGAAACACATTTGCTGTTCTGTGATTCTCCTCATGTACTTCTCCATTAACTCCTGTAGTGATGTATGGGACGGGAATAAGAAGCTGGGAGTAAAATCTCTTCAGCGACAGCAATAAACATCATCTGTCTGAAGCGACTGACATCTTGGTTTCAGTCTTACCTGAGGACAAGTTCCTGACACAGAGATGTGTCAGGAGTCCTTGCTGCAAACTGTACAGTGGAACGACCCTCCTCTCAGTCAAGCACTGAGAAATAAATGTTATGCACTAGCAGGCAGAACCAAGCAAGCCTATGGGTGAAAGCAAGCAGTGTGTACTTCTCCCTTTCTGTGGAAGCAAAGCTTCACTCTCCATGTGTGGAGTTCATGTTCTCAGACACGTGCTAATGCATGAAATTACATGTCAGAATATTTTATTCCCAAATACTTCCAAAAACTACTCTAATCTTAAATTCACAAGTGTACATTATTAGATAAAAGTCTCTTCTAGCATTTAATGTTAAGCAAATATATTGTACTACACAGTAAGAATACAGTTGAAAATTCATTTTAATACATGTTTATTGGTGTCCTGCACTTTCAGTGTAGGAGGTTGGAGATGTAATAAAAAAAAGCTTCAAAATTTATTGATTCCATTTCATTTAAATCACTCTAAACAACCAGTGCTTTAGAGTTCAGAGAATTAACGCGTCCATTACGAGCAAAATTTTAATATCTTTTTCGAGTCCACTGAAGACTCCTCTCTCTTAAAATTCTTCAGATACATTCCCCAAAGTAAACAATACATTTCAATCTGTGTCACAATCACCATTGATAAGGCCTTCTTAACCATTTGATACCACCTCCACTATTACTTCATTGCAAAACACAATCTTATTTCGTACTATAAATATCCATCCATGCACAAAACACAGGGGCCAGAAGTTACACATTAATATTTCATGTAGGTTTGAAGACTTCCTTTACCCTATGCAGGTTTATGGTACACTTAAAAAGATATCTTTAGACTTGGTCTACTTGGTCTTAAAATACAAATATACAATATCCATAAGCATAAAAAAGTAAAGCTGGATTGCCTTACCATTTGTTATGAACTGCTAAAATCTTATACATGTACAATATAGCATCATGCTGATTAATATACATATTAGTTAAATATATCAACCAATAATGGGGATGTGGTCAAGCTTTTTGTTTCGTTTGCAAAAAGAAATTTGTCATATACAAGTAAAAAGATTTTTAATTGAAACTTCTCCGGAATACCTGAACCACAAAGGCCATCTGTAAACCCTGCTGAGATAGTCAGCTCATCATACCTGCTGCTCCACTCCTCTGAAAAGGAATATAACTCTTCACAGGTGGTACTCAAAGTGTGCTACTCCCAAGAGAACGTACATTTGCCAGCATTCACATTTGCAGATCCAGAACACTACTGCTTGCATCTCCTTTATGCTTTTTGTATCGACTCCTCATCCTCTACCAGAAGCAATTCAGTACCTTGACATCGCCAAAGATTTTTCTAAATAAGTAGATATACAGTACAAAGTGTAGATAGTGAAACAAGTAAGCACATATATACAGTTTTTGAAAGGCATTTTTGTGACCATTTTAGCAGTGTTTATAGATAACATTTAAGATAGTCACATTCCGCTGATACCACTGCATTGCAAACTGTCAAGCCACATTTCAATATTGAACTTGTACTGCATTGTATATTGTACACAAAAGAAAAACAATCATTCTTAAGGTGTGACAACAATGAAAAAAATCACTAAACTGAGTAAAGTAACCAGCACAGGGCTTAATTTTCCTGAGGTTTGTAAGAATTTTTTAAACAAAAATCACAGTGACCAGGCTAAACTGCAAACATACTGTTAAGTTTTAAATATACAGTTTATACAGAAGTTCTGTGCATGGCCGACTCAACTGTGCACGTTCACAAAGATGTTTCTTCTATATGACTCGCCACTGCATAATACTTGTATCTTTTCCACCTGTGGAGATGAGATGGGTATCTTCACAGAGAAAGTCTACGTTAGTTACATGACTACTGTGTCCACCATACACATGGCTGGGAGCCTAGAAAACACCACATAAGTGAGAATGTAAAGTGTCCTGAAAACACACCATCATAACATTCAAGCTACAATGAAACCAAAGCTTCCTATCACTCTTAAAATACTCCAATATTAAATTAAAATGTAACATTAGGCTTAAGTAAATTCCTTTGGAGGATACTTAACCATAGTTTTTCATTTGTAAATAGGAAAACAGCACTTAATACATTTCTCTAACTTACAAAAGTGAATTGTTTTGAAATCCCTTACCCTAAACTGTGAACATGGATATGAGAAGAGATGCACTTTGCCAAAATCATCCCCAGTTGACAGCAGTTTTCTCCCATGTGAACGGCAAACAGCATTGATATCTGTTCCATCCGACCCTTCAGGCCACACACCTGAAACATGGAGGACTAATTAAGTGCTTCTACAATGGAAACAGAAGTGGCTGAAGTTTTTGTTTAAATATTGTTACTTGTTTAACAAACTATGAAAGTAACTGCAGTTGAGTTAGTATGCATCCTTCAGAAGCAACAGAAGAGCAGGTCCTAACAACAGGAAATCAAGTACACAAATATTTCAATTTCTCCAGTCAGCAAAGTGCTATTTACTCTACAAGGAAAAAGAAGGAAGAAACTGTGCTGAATCACAGACATGTCTCAGAGCCTAAAAGAATCTTGGTATGTTTATGTACCAAATAACACATCACTGCTTTTGTTATCTCTTCTGTTTATTAACAGAAGTGATAAACATTTCTTCACATTACTGCAGCCTTAGTAACTATCCACGTACGACTCGATGTACTTTATGTGTATTGTTTACTTCTTGACTTATGGCTCAACAAATTACATGGTTTTAAATGTTATTTAATAATTAATCCCTCAAAAAGAAACAGACTGCTCTAAAATTGTAAATGCTTTTCTTTAAATACAATTACTTATATAAGTAACTCTTCCTCACATACTCTACTCCTTGCTGCTGTTGCAAAAACTGTTGCTCTAAAATTCAACTGTGGACACCACCATGCAAGGAAGAAATCTTTAACACTTTCAAATTCCACTTGATTGCATGCTCTCCCTTCACTGCCATTATGCTTCAGGATGAGGCATTTGCTGCTCCCTGCTGCTTTTCCTACCCTTTTCCTTAAGGACACCCATGGCAGGGCAGGCAGACTCAGTTTCCCTTGCGTGGCCATCAGAATGGGAATCTATCCCTACTGTGGAACAGTAGCTAAACAAACTAGCTTGGATTTGCATGCAGTTCTACCCAAATATAATCTTTGCATCCCTCCACAGAAGTAAAAAAAAAAAAAAAAAAAAAAAAAAAAAAAAAAAGCAGCACTAAGAGGAAGTGATTTCATCATGTCTTTATGCAAGTGATCTTTAAGAAGTTGTACATTATTGTAAATACAATGAAATGGTATTGATTTGCCAGACTGCCAGTTACTCGCTATTCTGACCTGTGTGGGAACATCTCTTTGCTACACAAGGGATACCAAAATAAAAGGCAGGGAAGAAAGAGAAGGAATGCACAAAGAAGAAATGCAATAACTGCTACTTGGTGAATGCTACATAGAATGAAGAGACACAGAAAAGCTGTTTTAAATAACTGCCTTGAGAGAAAACAGGCTGAAAAGCAGACAGGAGCTTTCTCAAGATGTTTTGATGATAAGCTGAGAACCCCCAAAAGAAGTGGTTTGAAGAACAGAATTGTTATTTCAAAACAGGGAAAGAATGATATCAGTTTTGTTTGTTTTACTTTGGGAATGCTGTGCTCTTTCAAAATGACTTCAGTGCCACACTGTTTTTCTTAGTACATAAGTTAATCTCATTTGCTGAAAAATTAGCCCAGTTTTTCTCCCCCATCCTCTGCAGAAATGATAAGAGAGCACTTCCACTCTCTCGTTTGAAAAATGATGCCATGCTCTTCTCTTTTTGTAAATTCATTCATTCCATCTCCTCTCACGATATACAGAACAATATATAGATGTGTAATTATTCTTGTTTGTCAGCACTTGGGCTGTTATCTGTTGGTCCCATGCATAAAAGCCAGAAGCAGTATTCCAGCTGTTACTGAAGCAGATGCTGATAAATGGACAATTATTTCACATTTTGCATGGCATCCTTTTCATTACATACCCCTCTAATGCATCTGCCTTTTTTAATAACAGCATAATAGTGTTGAGTCATTTTCAGTTCACGTGCAAGAGTAATCTGATCTTTCTGCACAGAGCTGCTCTCTTGCCTGTTAGCCTCTATTCTCTATTTGTACAACTGGGTTCTGCTGTTCAAGGCTTACAACCTTATGTCTCCCATAGAATTACCTTATTTTTTTTATACCATTCTTCTGTTTGTCAGCTTACTAATCCTGCAGCTTTGTGCCACCTACAAATTATATTCACTTATCATCCATGCTATTCAGAGTCTAAAATAAAATTCATGGTACAGCCTCCTAGACACTTTTCAACCAGCCAGCCTCATCTCTGCTTTGCTTGCAATGCTTTGATGTTTTTCAAAGCCCTAACATTTCTTCTATTCCTGTTCTTCATCCTCAAAAACTGATTTTTCTAAAATAGAGACAAAACAAACATGCAATATGACCTAAGGCCTTTGGTTCTGTATCCAGCAGCCCAAGGTGCTCTTTGCAAGAGCCTACAGATCAGGAAACCTTTTCTTTTGTCCTGTACACATGTTTGTATCACTAATATATCCCACACCGAACACATTTCCTTACATGGTGCTGATTTTCAAATAGTTCTAGGCTGACTGTCTTGTTTCCATACCTGAAGACAGGTGTTCAACAGATCAATGTTCATTTTCCATTTAGCCTTGATTATGATAAACACACATAGCATTTGCAGTTCATCTGTGATTTTTAACACTGTTCTACTTGAGTGAGAAAATATCCCTACTTCAAGTCAGCCAGCAGTTACTGAACTGCCAGTATCCTAAATATCTCTTGTCCTAGATGACATGGTTGCATCTTCTACAGCCAGTGGGGCAATCCTGGCAAACATTTTAAAACTGCTCATGTTGGCTGCTCAGAGGCCACAATGTACTGAAGGACAGAGTGACTTTCAACATTACTAGACTTGCTTCCAATTTATAATTTATAAGATCCTTCAGTTTATTTTTAAAGCCACTAACTTTGCACTTTATCCTCTCCACATGGGCTCTGAAGTACATGAATTGACAGATATTAATTCCACTCTTTTCCATGTTTCCAGTATCTTACTGCTTCTCGGTAAGGTCCTGAAAACAAATACTGATGGTCTTGAGATTATTTTTATCAGTTGTTTCTACAGATATAACAACGTTTGTCACAGTCTGACACTTTGAAAAATACCTAAATTTTAAATTAATTCCTCCCTACCCAAAGTACAGCCTTACTGATACTAACTGGGGTAGCCTCAGGTTATAGGTCTTCTAGTTAAGACACACACAAGAAAAAAAAAAGTCTTCACACCTCAGCTTTCACAGTATCAATTCTCCTCTTCCTCCTCTCCATGCAGCATCTCAATACTCACTGTTTCTTCAATTATTACTGTACATAACACAACTGTACATGATATTTGGTTCGTCCTCCAACAGATTCTACTCTCAGTATTCCTCTTCCTTTTAGGTTTAACCAGTTTAACCAAGTTGCTGTCTTGCAGCCATTTCTATCTTTCCTCTGTTCTAGCAGTGTTTCCAATCACCAGATTAGTTAAAAATTACTACACTTCCCCAACTCCTTTTTTCCAACTTCAGATATTTCTAAATAGAGCTTTGGATTAATGCATTTTGCCTCTCCGAAGTCCATTAATTTCATTTTGTTGCTTTATTTTCCATCCTGTATAACCTTCCTGATTCCAGTAATTCCTACACAGGATGTGTTCACACACCCAGTAAGTTCATTCCACCTCAATCGAATTCTGCCTGGAGTAAACTCCCCTCTTGTTCCTCATCTATTTTCCCTATGAAAATAGTTTGGAGACCTTGCTGGGTAGCCACTGTACTGCAATTCCTTTCCCCAAAGACACTGAAATTGTTAAAATTTCACATCCAGTTCCTGTGCTTAAAGCAGCTCCTGTGCTTTGACTGATTCTGCTACATATTAGAAAAATTCAAATCATTTATTCTTCTGTGAGGATGGGCAACCTTGTCCTTACTAAAATTTTTTTTCTTCACCTATAATTATTAAGTTATCTTGTACCTCTCCAGTCTGAACCTAACACTGAATTTATGAATCATCAATATATACAGCACTGGGTTCTTCTATATCAGATACCCTTTTTGAATAATTTACACTCTTCCACTTTAAAATTTTATTTATTGATTAACTTCCTCACAACTTCTATTACATTAATAAAATTAATTTTATTATTTTAAATGCAAAGACTTTGTAACTTTCTGTCAGATATAATCCAACCCCAAGCACTGTGGACTTGAATACATTAACAGTTTTATGAAGGCTTCCATCCCTCGTGTGAGAAAAGCATGATGTTAACATGCAGCCTTGCTCCTCTTACTAAGGCTGTGTGTTGTTGCGATACCCAAGCAGTGCCTGTCAGTTAAACATTACCAAATCTGAATGTTTCTTCCTGGCATATTGTTACTGCCATCTCATCTTTTAGGCTGTAAAAACATGTCCTTTCTGGCTGGTTTCAAACACATCAATGCATTTATTCTGCCTGAAACAAAGGCAAAAATCTTCTCTGCTTACTGCTTATACTAAAACAGACTCATCTTTGAACATATTTTGTGGCTTCCTATGGCTCTTGCATTCAGCTTTAATGATGATCTGTTTAGTTCTGCACGTACTGTGGAATAAATAAATAAAAATACTGCACGCAATAGGACGCAGCTCCTTCAAAAGCAGTAGAAAACTCTTAGAAACAATTCACCATGATTTTATTACACTTTTACTTCTTTCATGTCATTTAATTGTTGCATATTCTATCAAATTGGCATCAAATTACACTGAACTACATAATGATAGGTCTGCCATCCCTTTTGTGTTTGCAAAGTAACCAGCACAAGGAAACCGGTCTGATGAGATTTGGCCCAGTGACCACATAAATGACTGACAACTCAATAGAAATGGAACCTGAAATTGAAAGAGATGAGAAGGCAGCACTAGTGTGACAGAAAGGGCAGAGTGCAGTTTCTTCCTTTTCCTCTCACTTGTGTCTTAATTTAATATTTATACTTGCAGCTAGCAAGAATATTAAATCACGGCCTTTCTGGGTTGAAAGACAACGACAGATTGCAAAAAGAATGGCATAACAGAAGTTCTGTATTTACCCCTGAAGTATGAATAGTCATGTTTCACAAGAGAAAATTGGCATCCACAATATTTGTGAATAACAAGAATGATAAAAGCTTCAGAGAGGAAAGATACTTACCAAAAACATGGAATCCTAAAGTACAGGTGTACGTGGCCCATTCTATATCTCTTGTTGTTTCAACACTCACTACTTGTTTACAAGCAGAAGGGATCCCTACAAAAAAAAAAAGAGAAAAAAACAATAAGGTATGATGAACACTTAATTTTCAAATCAGATAGATTTTGATTGCAGCAGCTGAATTAAAACATATGGTCTATCTTGGCAGCTATATGTTTCATTTAAATTTTAAATCTGAATTAGACTGCATGAACTGTATACAAAATGATTAAGTATGATTTTTACTTACAATACAGGATTTCATAGTCCCCCGAATTAGACACAAGATATTGTGAGTTAACAGACCAATCCAGATGAGTAATGAAGCTGGAATGACCCTACAAGAGAAAAATACAGCATTAACTGAACAGTATCTCTCTCTTGATATAACGACAACCACACTAATAGTGCTACAAAACATACTTACGGTGTCATTGAACCAGGAGGAAAAAGAAAGGTTACTTACCGAACATTTGCCGATTCTTGTGTACTTTCTTCCATTCTCATTCACACCATATATATAAATAGAGTTGTCATGGGAACCTATTGCCAGGAAATTCCCATCTAAAAACACAACATACAACTGTAATTATTCCAGTAGGAAAAGTTATACTATAGGAACTGTACGTAAAGGCTGCGATCTTGAAAAAGGATGGTCTTAAAAACCTCTAGTTTTTAAGTTGCGTTTGATGTGTCTGTGTCAAGGCTATTATAACACTGCAAGTTCATATAGAAAATATTGCTATTAGAAATATATGACACTTCTGGAAACAGCGACAGCCCACTTAGAGTTAACTTGATTGCAACAACCTGCACCGTTCAGTTGCATTTGTTTTCCCCTTCCCAGTGAAGCCAGAACAAATGCAGTGAGTAGAGTGGAGGCAGTGGGCTCCAGAGAGTAAGACATCAACCATACAGGGCCAGTGTTACACTGCATATTTATTTTCAATTGAAGTATTTCAAGGGGAAAACAATCTTCAAATAAATAAATGCAAAGAATTAAAAAGCAGTAAATAAATGCTCTCAAACCTGGTGAGTAACGCATTACTGACAGCTGTTCGTTTCCATCTGTGTGTACAGTGACCAAGTCTTTTGTTTCTGTGTCAAACACAAACCACCTGTTGTAAATACAGAAAGAGACTAATAAGCCATTCCATAAGAAATTTAAATTTACTACAACGTTAACCAACTTTTGCTCTGTCAAAAAAGCATAAGTTTCACACCAGTGAAAGAAAAACAGCAACTCCTACTCATTTTGCTTAATTATTACTATACCAGGACAGTTCCTTTCCAATGTTTTTTAACCAGAATAACTATCTGACATTGATCCAGATAGCAATCCTCAGATTTTATTGTTATACTCTTTATTAGAATAAAGAAAAAAAAATTATATTTAATGACCCTTTTCCTTTAAGACTCCTCTATGCTATATTAACAATTCAATTGATGAGTACATTAACTCCTAGAACAAAAGGATCTAGACCATTCTCTTTTGACATGATGATCAGCTTTATTAATTTACTTTTAATTAAAATTTAATTTTGGTATTATATAGAAGGGACAAATATAAAAATTGCATTTCAATACTTGCATCAAAGCATTAATGACAAAATATAGTGCTGATGATAATGTAATGAAAAGAATCTTCACAAGGCTTCTAACATAATTCTGGGGACAAATAATCAAATACTCTTGGCTCACAACCTATAAGCATTCTGTATGTTTTCACTTAAGCACAACTGCTTTCAGTACCAATGGCAAAGTCTGCCCTCAAGTGACATTAAAGTAGAGGCTGAAATTATGGCAAAGGCACTCTGTTATGACTTGGACAATCCCAGTTAAACCAGGGGTCTGCCACAGATCCAGGATGTGACCAGTGGCTCAATCTCTTGTATAAAACAGAGGTACTATTTTTCACCCTGCTTTTTGTCTGTCTTGTCTACAGATTACACTCTTCAGGCAGAAGAAGCCTCTTCATATGCATTTTAACACTATGTCTAGCACAGCGAGACATTTGCTGAAATTTTGTTAAAGCTTTTTGACATTAGTGCATCAGAAATAATAAACCACTTATTAAATCTTCAAATGAACATTTCTTTTCTGAGGGATTTCCTTCATGCTGCCTTCTAAGCCTCAGACAAGCTCTCTGTACACACCCGCAAATGTAATTGCTTATCTCAGACTCCTCCATTCAACTCTCCTTTGCCGTGATCAGATGAGACACAGATTTAACACATAGGTCACTGGTACCATGAGAGCACCTCCCATCCACCATCTGATGCTGACCCAGACTGCCAGTTCTGCCAAAATCTGCCTCCTGGCACTGATCTGAGACTCACACTCTCAGGACAGACACCATTTCTTCATTCCATGTGCATGCAATACTCTGCAAACAGTGCACTACTCCAAGACTAGAATTTCTCATCACTAAAGGAGCACAAATAAATTTCATTCTCAAATCCAATTCAAATCAGTGGGGGATGAACATACATCAGGCACGCATCTGCAAGTCAAGAACACGAACTTGGATGCAGTGAGCTGGAAAAATCATGCTGTTTGTTGGTGCCCAAGGCATGTATCTGTACATCTTACCTTCCAGTTAGCGTCCCTACTGCAACAACAGCTGCTGAAGGATGAAAACCTGAAGACTGTGCTGGATCCTAAAATGTTGCACAAGGAAACATTTGTTTTTAGCAGTCCAAGTAATAACAAAGAACAAAATTAGTTACCTTCTGCAGGAACAGAGTAAGCTTCTCTTTTCATTTTTTCTTTAAGTAGAAATTTGAGAAGAAAAAAATACCATTTTTAGCTGACTGAAATATTACCCAATAGATTTTTCTCTCTATACAAGGCTACTGTTTTCTTCACTGTCTAATCCAAAAGTAACTTGTCAAAAGATTTCATAGTAACAACACTGGCATTGGCAACTTCTCAACAAATCACAAACAAGTAAGAGAAAAATAGCTTGTTAAATTACAGTTGACCTAAGAACTAATTACCAAAGCTGCAGTTTACCTGATGCCTTAATGAACAAGCAAGAATATGACTCAAAAGTATGCATCTCTTACAGCTTAGTTGCAGATTAGGATACAAACTGAGTTTCTTATTTCTACATGCAATTCTAAAAAGGAGATTATTGTCAAGATAGATAAATAACTCTTTTCTTATTCAAACTGTATGCACTTAGAGAAGAAAAAACAACTCCGATGTAATGGACCCACCACTGTTGCCATCAGCCTTTCTCAAAAGAATAAATAAAGGTGAGCAAAGCAATTCTTAAACATTTCAGTAAAAATTTTCTTGGAGATTGCTTTATATTTGCAAAACTACAGCTATATATTCATCGAAGCTCATGGGAAGCCATAATCAGCTGCACTCTAGTCCTGTTTTTCAGAGGACACCATGGATAAGCCAGTAGAAACTTTGACCTTTTTGAGCTGATGACTGCTTTGTTCCTGAAACAGCTGCTTATCTGGCTAATAGATCCGTTCAAATTCTCATTTTCAAGTAATGAGATAATTACTTGTAAGTGCTCTCCTCTTTAGAATACAGGAGAGCAAAGTGCCAAATTTTGCACTTCTCTTCTGATTACAGGCCTGAGAAAACATTTCTGTCACAACAAATATATCAGAAATACTGAGCTATTATTCCTTAAGCTTTATAGAGGCTGTATGCATAAAACCATACCTTTACATCTAGGGAGCCTATCAGAATGGGCCCTAAACAATTTGGTTTAACTTATCAATGATTTTCATAATCTAAGGGTGCTAGTAATAATTTTATGTTGCATTTGGCATCTTGGTAATAATGTGATTTGCAAACACATTGAGATTTTAGCAAGTCTCATGATTTAATGAGCCTGCACTATTCCTATGGACTAAAGCAAGGTAATTTATTTTTAAATCTAAATCACATTATCACATCTTAAACCCTAAAGTGATCAGGAGGTAAGAAAATATAATTAACTGTCTGCCAATGAAGACAAACTCTTAGTATTTCTGATTCCCATTTTAAGACAACTACTATCATTTCTTTAATTTCTTTGCACCAAACTGTCTTTATAATCTAGGCACTGACCTATGAAAGTGCTGCTTAATTTCTAGAGCAGCAGAACTTTTGATTCGGACTCTTCAATCAATTTAATTCAGCAGCTTTTCACATCAACAAAAATACAGGTCCTAGAACATACAACCTTGTTTGGACAGAATAAACACCTTTATCTGCATCTCCAAGAGTGATTTAACAAATGCATACAAGTGGTACAGGATACCACAAAAGACAGTATAGCAAATACCATTCTGTTAAGATTTTTGATCTTCTTGCATTAACACACATACTGTATTTACTATTATCAGTACTAGCTTTAACTTTAAAAGTTATAGGGGCCTGAATAATGAGCAAATTTCTCATGAAAAAAGTTGCATAGTTAAGAGTTTTGAAACCTCATGTGAACTAATAATTATTCATTACATTGCACAGAAAGCAATATGAGGTTCATCTGTAAGTTAATGACTACAGTTTTATTTGTAGACCTGAGTATTTCATATATATATATGCATGCCATTTTCTGGCTCTTTTTTTCGTGAAACAATTTTTCCACTATACAGAAGACAGGTAAGAAACACAAAGAAAAAAAGCTTGGATTATACTGTTCAGTATACTCATCTCCAAAGAATGCACCTATAACAAGATGTGAATAGAAGACTGATTAGAGGAAAAGAAAAAAAGCAATGGTGGCATCTCAAATCAGAAACAAAAGCATCACTTCAGTCTCTGGGAGAAAATAATGTTGTCTTTTGGATAAATATTTAGAGATAGAATTGGTGTCAAAAATTTGTTCAAAAAAATCTGTTCCTGAAGATCCATGCAAAAATTAAGATCATGTTATCACGTAGCCAATAGGAGTGTGCATATGAGCAGATGAGTGCCTAAGTACCACAAAAAACCAAGTCTATACTCTGTATTCTGTACCTAGACATGAAACTGATATCAGAGACATGACAATACATTCCAAAAAATGTGTTTTCTTTTGTGGATGCAGTGTATTAAAATCCCAATAAAATATAGAACACAGATAAAAACTAAAAAAGACACCAAAGGATTCTATTCTTCTTTGCTTTTCACTATTACCAGCAAGTGCAAACCAGATCAGAAATACTTTTAAATTATAAATACTTCCTAACATTTCCTAGTTAAAAAAAAAAAAAGTTTTGAGAGTCAGTAACACACCTCAACGTGATGCAGCACAAACATCCACACAACCCAGGGCATAAGAACTTTGGTTTTAATAGTCTTCCATTTTCAGAAAAGTTTTTACACCCACTTTTGATTCTTAGAGCTAACACTAAGATACTTCACATCAATAATTGTATTAAAAACTCAAACTGAGAAGCGCTGTAGGAGTCAACTTGCGTTTAAAAACTTGTACCTCTATAATCTTGTTCCAGATAGGACGGTGAGTCGTAGCATCCCAGAGGGTAATGTGTTTGTCATGTCCACAAGTGAAGAACTGAGGTTTAGAGGAATGGACTGCAAGTCCCCACAGCTCATCAGTGTGACCCTATACAAAAAAAAACATTTTTAAATGAGGACAATAACAATAAAGCTAAGCATGTTTAAAGAAGTTTAAGGTGAGTAAATTACGTATTAACGCATTAGAAAGCTATATTGCTTTGGACAGATGCTAATAACTATTAAGTTACTTTTCTTGCCAAAAGTACTGTAATCACAAATGAAATAGATTCATATTTAGGAACTTATGGTTGACTCCATACTTCTGTAGCTACTACATACCTAAAGACTTGAAAGGCAACAGCTTACCTGGGTTATAGGGAAAAAGTCTCCTGACAGTGTCCCCTGTAGGACAAAATTTCTGGTAGTTCCTATTAGCACAACATCACCTTTTCCTTCAGCCACTGTTCTTATTGGACCAAATTGCTCTGGAATCTGTGTTCAGAACAGACAACATAGTGGTCAGACTATAAGATGATTTGTCAAGTATGACTTCTTTTCTTAAAGGCATATGGCCTAGCAAATGCATTTTAAAGTGCTGCACAGCGAAGAAACAAAATGGATGGAATATACATTCTTGATTTCCAGAAGTTTATAACAGCTTGCATCAAACAATTCTTATCTATAGAACATTATATTTGTAAAGATAAGCCAATAATTTCAAAGAGAAAAGGTTCTTTCACGCAGCGTTAACTTGATCGTGTTTTAACTGCAACTGTGATATCAGATTAAGCGTTTTCATTCAGAGATATTATCAGGCTTTATATCACTTGTATACAGTACACCTGCAAGGTACGTGCCTTTAATTGCAGCATAGGTTCTGAAAGATTCACTACTAGTCTCCAATAGAAAATGCAAGAGAAAAATGTAAATTTTAAAATATCAAGGAATACCAAAAAAGGTGAACAGGTTATTAGGTACCACAGGCTTATTATCAGAGGATATCACATTTTACTGTGGATTTGTTTCTTCACAGAATGCGTATCCGAAAGGAAAGAAAGTGATTTCAAAAGGCAGTTTGAATTTCAGTTTGAGTAACAGAGTAAATTTAAAGATAGGTGATTTCACCTCAGTTTTGTGAAGTTTTTGGTAATTTCCATTCCAAGATATTAACTTTCGGTCTTTTCCTCCTCCTGACACTAGCGTGCCATCTCGCAGCATGCAGAGTGCAAATATTCCACCCTCATGTGCCCCTTGAACCGCATGGCTTATTCTGTTGGTGCCTGGATATAAGGAGAAGAAACACTGCTAGTGAAGCACTCAGCTTAATAGCTCTTTTTTCCCCGGGCTTTATTTCTTTCTCCATTTCTCTACCTGCCAAGGATTGCACCTAAAGAATGCTAATGGTGGGAATGGAGTGTTGTGCCAAAACACTTATATCCACAAAAGAGACTACATGAGTCCTAAGAATATATTCTCCTGCATGGCAAAAATGAGAAGTATTCATATTCCTAGCCAAATACAAATAAAGCTCAACAGGTTCCCTTAATGCTTTTCTTAGGAAGTTGACTTCATGTTTGATCTGAAGTAGCACTACACACACTATTAACAACGAAACAACCCAATCACTTTTTATCATCCAAGGACACCTCACAGTCATCAGAAACCTTGCTTGTACTGAAGACAAGGTGACAAGTCTCTTCTGGTCTAGCATAAGGTGTTGAATCACATTCCAAGAGAGCTGGTACCTCTTTATTGATGAACGTAGTATTTTCAAGTACCTATTTAGCATCAATACACCTCCAAAACAACTACATTAAACATCTCTAACTTTAGAATTGTTACAGTTATGAAATATAAATAAATTATTTGTGGTTCTGTTACTTAAAAACGTACTTAAATGTAGCCCAAGTGAGGGATGGGTGCAAGTTAGGAAGAAAGAATTGTTTTGTCAGCCACAGAATCACATTTCCTTTTAGCCACACCTATGCTACAAATGTTTTCAAATAAGGGAACTTCTCCCTAGGGCTACTCTGTACTGGTGGGATCAGTCCAGCCCTGAACATAAAGCTCTGAGTGAAAAACAGCAAAAACATAGAAAATTAGTTGCACTAAGCTGTACTAAAGTAAGAAATTAAGAACAAAGGTGGTGGCGTTTGGATTTTTTTGTTTTTGTTTTTGTTTTTTTTTGTTTGTTTGTTTGTTTTTGTTTTTTTCCAACTCCAAAAAACAACAGAGGTGAGGAGATAGAAAGTAATTCCCTTTTGTTTCTGGGATTGGGTCAGGACAGATCATCTGCAGCCAAAGTAGAAAAGAGCACTGGCATGAAGCAAATTGGCACCTGAGCACTGCACTGACCCTGCCATGCCAGCAGCTGCCACTATCTCCCTTGTTTGTTGTCAGTCCAAAATAACCAAGAGCAGGAAGGGGAGGGACTACACAGTTTCTTAATTTCATTGCAGTGTTCAAATGTCTTGGTTTAAAGGAAAAAGACAAGGAGAATAAAAAAAAAACTGAGGTTCAAAAACAACACTCAGCTCCATCCACAACAGTGCCATAATATACCAACTGCCCAAAAGCACAAACAGAAAACTAATAGCTTCTTAGCTAGTAGTCCTCAGATGGCAAAAGTCTACAAAAACAAATGAGTAAGGTCCAACTGTGTAACTGATTCACCATGTTGCTTCCAGGCTGTCTGTCCCTCACTTCATGTATTTTGGGAAAAGTCACAAAGTAAACAAGGAGCAGCTGTCATCCATATTCCTTACTCTTTTACTAATAAGCTTCCTTTAGGGGATTCTCCTTATTTTTATGCACTGCATCTCACATACTAAGTAAATGTTTAGGATATCGCTACTGTTTGTCTTCCAGCAGAATTTGCCTTCTGCGGCTTAAAATAGTCTTTTCTTACAAGAAAACGTATTTTAAGAAGTTTGTCCTATTTGTCTGTTCTTTTGAAATAAAGCTGCAGAATTCAATTCCACATGCATATATTTTAACCTGGCATCCTAAGGAAACAAACCTATTTGTTCTCCTTTAAAGGATATGTCAACAGGCATAGCTTTTGCAAACACAATACAGAGTGGTGACATAAGTAAGATTTTGAGATCATCGATTATGTTTAACAGTGTTTCTTGTTATCATCTTGATTAAGGAAATTAATTTTTCCTGACATTTCTTACTGTCATTAAAATTCTTATTTACCAGTAAAGCTTTGTGATTCAACATTTGATTGCAAGGAACATTTCTACACAATTGTGTTGTGTAGAATGTAAGTCAGATGTAAGTCAGATGTAAGTTTTTTAAGAGCCGGAGAATTCAGACTGGAATGGCTTTTACAAAGAACAAGATAAACAGAATTTATTCTTCTTAAAATGAGAATACACTGAAGTGTAATATAAAATTCAGAGTTGTTTATAATAAATTTTCACTATTAACTTCAATCTTTTCTTACCTTTCCCCCAAATCAAAATGTTTCCACTCGAGTCTCCTGTAATAGTATCACCATTTTCAGAAAAGGTCACACACAGGACAAACTTTGGCTTCTCTTGTTTCTGTATGGTTATGAAAAATATACACTCACAGCACCACACAACCCATTCATCTTAACTGTATGCATTTGAGTCATTTAGTTTAGTCTTATATAATTCTACTATTAATCAGATGGAGTTAAGAACAATCTTACAGTCTAAACAGTCAATATGAGCAAAGACATCACTTGAGGATGGAGTCCTAAAATGACACCGTTCAGCTACAGGTCATGGATGCATCCAGTGAGGTTGCCTGAACCAAGACCTGGAATGTTCAAATATGAACAGAACCCCCCAATTACTTCCATATCTCAAACTCTTAAAGTATTTAGAAATGGCCAAAGATGAATGCAAGCTTTGTTATGAGTATTTTTAACAACAAGTATTATGAGAATGTTTGGCTGTAATATAAAGCTTAAGAAATCATCTCTTGAAAGAATCCTAAGGTTTGATAACAGAAATTTTGTTTTGAGACCCTGAATTTAAAGTGCTGACAGCAACAAATAGCAAAAAATGTATAAGAGGACAAATTTTACAAGCTAATAATGTTTCAAGATATTATTTACAAGGTTTATTGACTGCTAGTTTGCATGGTCATACATAGCTAAACAGTTGTGTGGTTTTTGTTTTTTTGTTTTTTTGTTTTTTTTTTTACTGTACTTGCAATTAATGACTCCACAAGCAGTTAACTGGGCCCTAGTGTAGTTATCTACAGTCACTGCAAACATTGCTCCTTTGTGCATGCCACTGCTGTGAAGCTTAGTCAGTATTTAAGAACAAAGCCTTATCAAGACCTTGAAATGAAAATATTTATCAAATAGCATCCAGCTCAATCTGGATTTGTATTACGTATGCCTACGTATCTGAGCAGAACAGAAGTCAGTCAGAAGACATTCACAGAATTTATAACTGCACTAGGGGGGAGATTGTCTTCCCCCCAACCAAATAATTAAAAAAAAAAATTTCTCTTTTAACTTGAGGTAAGCATAAGGAGTTTTAAAGTAATCTTATTTTACAGGTACTATTTTATTTTTAGGTACTATAAAGAATATATGAAAAGGAATACAAGGAACAGAATGGTAACTGCATTTCTAAATTTCGTTGTAGTGACAATCCACGCAAACATCCAGTGGGCAAAGAAATTATTTCAGCACTTACCAGGCCTGAAAAGAAGCTCAAGCTGCTTTTACATTGCCCTCCAAAGACTTATTCATCATAACTGATGATAACACAAGTGCAGTCTAAAGTTCTATAAAGTTTCAAGTTTAATCATGATCATGCTGCTTTGATTTCCTCAAACCTTACCTCCATATGATTGTACAATTAGTGTAAACAAAATTAAATAAATTTTACCTCAAATAATCCTTGCTTTTTAATAAGGGAATTCCCTTCTAGCGTCCAAAAATAAAGATGTGATTTTCCACAAGTAACTATTATATTTGTATCAGTAGGGTGAAAATCCGCAGCAAATACAGCCTCATTAGAGCACTTGAAAGGAAAAAGAAAAACAGCGTATCAAAATTTAAAACTCAAGAAAACCAAAGTAAGATGAAATTATTCTCTAGTTAGATAAATAGATTAATTCCTCATACAAGAAAAAATTTTAAGCCACTTATTTGTCAGAGTAGATTAAGATGTTTTAATAGAATATTCTGAAGAAAAACAGCCAAAAGACATTGTGTTTTTAAGTTAGTATCTAAGGTTATCCTTCAAAACTACGTCAGCTAGTGCATAGCTCTTTACGAAACTTAGTTTAAGGTGTTTCTTTTCGGCACTTTGTCCTCCCATTGAGGCATATGCCTTTCTACTAAATTCAAGATTGAACACAGCATTTTTATTTTTATTTTTAATAAAAAAGCTATTTGGGAAATCAATAGTGAAAAGAAGCATTCCCTTTCCTCATGTTCTTGGATTTTATAAAATGGAAAGTGCTAAAAAGGCACAATGTCTTCTTCATAAAAGACATTTTATGATAAAAAAATTCTGATCTACATGTAAGAACTTGGTACAAATATCTTATAGCAACACCTTCACATCTGCTAGCTTTTCTTCCTTCTGCCAGTCCCACACAGAAAGCACGTGGTCATTTGAGTCGTCCACTGAGCAAAGGCTGCTTCCTCCATTCTGTTGCAAAACATGGAAAACATCAATTTAGCAACCAATAAACATTAGAAACATATAGGAAAACATTCAAAATAATTAAATACATATAGATGAATATGACTTATTTACCAGTTTGCTGCAATTCTAATTATCCTAGAGAACTTCTCGAAATGTAATTATTCACTGGACTTTTAAAAGGGATCTAGAAGAGGAACACTTGCAAAGTGCAGAAAATCAGTTTTCATAAGGAATGAGGTGTCTCTTTCTAAAAATTCAGTGACAGATCTTCCCAAAGCAAACTACACATCATCATCTGCACCTTTGAGTTTTTTCCTGATGATTATACTGAGTTTGTTTCTTGGCCAATTACTTCTTGCCAGATCTGCTGTGGATACAGGGAATGATTTTACTCATTATATATGAATAATGTATCAAAATTAGGGAACAAAATAGAAAATAAATGATTTATTTCTGACAGACATCTTTTTCATAATTAGGTCTTCTTTCAGCCTTTCTAATCTTAACAGCCCTAATCAATTCAGCCTTTCTTCATGTACCAGATTAGCTCGATCTTCTCCAGACCCATTCTTCTTGATTACTTGATGAAGATCCAACTGATACTCAACGTAACTGAGGGGAGATGATGACATCACAGGTCTCAGTAGTAACAATTGTATAACCACTGACATCTTTTTCCAAGTGGCAGCTGTACAGAAAGGTAGCATTCAGACCATTTTTTCTTATCTTGAGGGATTAATTCCTAGTTTTATGGCTATAGTAGAATAAATAATCAAGAGATATTTGAATAGGTTGGAAAGCAGTAAGACATGCATATTTATCGCATTGTTGGTGGTATTAACCACACTAGCTTTGACTGCACCTGAGCTTGCTGGAACAGAACAAGCCTATGGTTACACAAGCATTCCTTTGGCAGCAATTCTGAGAGTTTTGTATCTGCCACACATAGCACAGCCACTTGTTGCTGCCAGCACAAAAGTTTGGGCTATCAACAGGGCTGTTCCCTGTTTAGGGAACAGATTGGTTTTGGAGGAAAAAGAACGAAAGAGGCCCAAACAAACTACTTCATTTTGTATCATAAAAGTTTGTTTGGTTGCTTTTGTGATGGATTAGCTCCCTAGTACATATCTCAGACACTGCTACAGAAATAATTGTGCCAACACAAACCAAAAGGAGACAGACAGGAATTAGCAGCCTGAAGACAGGGCTGTCTGAAATGAGAAAAGCAACACTGCTATAGAATGGGAAGTGATGCTTGAAACAATGCTATGACTGTGAAATCACAGCATAAACACATTAAACACTCACTTTCTTGTGACATCTGCCAATAACAATACTCTACTACAAAGCAAACATTATCCTCCAAAGCTGATCTTGATCTGCATTCTTTCACCTTCAGCTCTCCCAATTTACTCCACACTTTAATTCCTATAAAATATTGTCACCAATAAGTTTCATATACTTATATACTTGTGGAAACTTTCACTGATGTACATTTTGCCTATGAAACACATAATTTACTCCTCTCTTTTTTTGAAATGTCAATGAGACAATTGGACAGCAATATATACACTCTTTTCTAAACTTGTGTGACAGTTTACAAACTCATGTTTTTATACAGGACTTAGATATCACGTATGTCATCTTTTTTTTCACCTTGGTGGACAAGAATTTAAAGTATGTTGCCATGAGGCTAACCACTTGATTACAACTCTTTAATGCCCTTTACCATATGCCTTTGCTGCTTTCAAGTGAAAGATTTTGCCTCTCCCATGGTACTCCCACTTTCTAAGTCCACAATCTGAGGCACAGGCCAATATAAAGGTCTTTCATTAGTCTTTCTGAGAGAAAAAACAACACTAAGAAAGTAACTTAATTTTATTTAACAGAGGGAGAATCTCAATTAGATGATTAAAGAAAAAACATAAGTTCTTCTACAAATATCTGTCCCTGAAGAAATTAACTCCATGTTAGGGTATGCACAAGGTAGACCTCTAAGACTGCTGAAATACTGCTAACTTTAATAATGGCAGAAATTGCTGGAAACAACTGTAAGCTCTCTTCCTCTAAATAAGCAGCTTAAGAAAAGAGACTAAAAGAAAGTTTGGACATTGGTTTTGTTAAGGAAGCTAAAATTTGCAAGGCTCCATAGACCTGTTTAGCAAACTTTCTCAATATGAATATTGTTTTACTCTACTTACAGATTTAGAAAAAGCAATGCAAGTGACAGCTCGGTCAAAAAAACCCATTCCAATGACATGCAGCGTGTTCAGAGTTACAGAGTCCCAAACACGTACGTGTGGTGGTAATTGCTGTAAAAATAGACACAGACATAACTGTTGAAACAATTTTGGACAAAAACATCAGGATTAAAAATAAAATTGTGAGTGCATCCAAAAAGCATTTTAATACAAGTTATGAAAGCTACTGGAACTTGTCTAGAGTTGACCACATACACTATTAATTATTTGCTCATTACTATGCCTAGAGCCAATATCTAGAATTGACCATCCAGAGTGTACAGCATGTCAAATCTCATCCATCTCCGCTAGATCACAGAAGTTAATGAAGAATATTCAAGTGTCTGTAAAGGAAAAACTTGTTGATTGCAACACAGGACCTACTGGCAGGTCCAAGATCAAACATAATAATTGATATCATAGAATAGCTTAGGCTGGAAAGGATCTTGAAGATCATCAAGCTCCAACCCCCGTGACATGAGCAGGGTTTTATCAACCACTAGATCAATCTACATCAAAGAGCGAGTGCAAAAAGGTTAAGAAATCCCAAGCTAATTAATGCCAATGTCATAAAAACAGCCATAGGAGAGAATTATATATTCCAGATTGTTCTTTACAATTATAATTACTAAGTTGTTTGCTTGTTTTTCTTCCTAGTAACCAAATTAATGTACCTATAATGGCCCAAGAACACCTGCTCATCCATGAAAACTATGCACTTCCCTCCCCCCAGTTGCAGACATCGGTAACACAAAAGGAGCCCCAGTGCATACACAATGACTAGAAGAAAATGTATCTCAAAGCCACTAGAGGGCAACCCCTGTAAGCACACACTGAGTAAGTTTCATCTTCAAAACAGCTAGCAATTTAACATAGAACCTTTTTTTTTCCCCTCCTCTTAATGAAAAAGGAAAAAAGCTATATTTAATTCTGGGGGTTTTTCTCATAGAAATGACTTTTACATAGGATTACCCATATACATCAAAATTTTAGATTTTATTTCACAAATACAGTCATTAACATAAGCATCTATGAAGCTCAAAAACAGAAATACCAGAGATTTCTCCAACACACAACAGAAATGAAGCCAAGTGAGTAACAGAATATTGCATTTAGATAATTTAGATAATATTACGTTTATATAAATATCATAGTGGGTGTTGTTTTTCTTGGTTACTTAAATCCTCAATGTAAGCATGATTTTTAAAACTTCCCTTACAATTCCTCTTTGATGTCTGTCAAAAACTTTGCAGCACTATGAATCAGCTGCATATTACACAGAAACTTTTTATTCACCCTTTTCCTACCTCCGCTTGTATTCATTCATTCTCATTTTGTCTTAGGTCTTAAAAGCAAGGATAAGTAACAAATTGAATAATTTTATAGCTTGTAAGTGAGCTTCACAGTAGAGACAATAATAAGGAAATCATTTTTGTCTTGAAATTTTTTTCCCCAGGAAAAAGGTGTCCATTTTATTTATACTTTGTCTTGGTAGCTGTGGTCAGGAATGAAGTGCTATAATGTTCAATGAAATATCCCCCTGCTTCTCTTCTTTTTCCCTCTTCCGTCTTCATTCTCAGGTTTCCCTTGAATCCTTTTCTATCTCTTTTAGAGACCAGCTCCCAAATTTCCTTTCTCTGTATAAGTAACAGAACCAGAAATGACTGACTGATCTTGATAATGCAATAGAATTAAACTTGATATTGTGCAAGAGGCATTCTCAAATTAAATTTTAATTCTGTTCAACTCTACCATTTAAAACCAGTTCAAATGCAACACGAAAAGGATATGACATGTATCTTCTCAGTTATACATACTTGTGAAATAAACACAGTGGTATGTCAACAAAGGGGTTACTCACTTTTCCATCCTTGGATGTACCTGCAACTTGACCTGTTGCAATAGTGATCCTGTCAGGATGGACAGCCAGGCTGAAAAGGGAAGAGAAACAGCCATTAAATCCATTTATTATACATTAAATCAAATTTTTACCAGATATTGAAGCAAAAAGCCTTATTTTAGTTAGACAAACATATATATCAACATTTTAAAAGCATGAAACCAGAACTGGCTAAATTATTTTTATGCTTTTTATTAAAAATATGATGGTCTGGTCAGTAAGGTAAGCACATTCTAGAGACAGTCCTTCAGATCAAACACTTATTCACTCAAACATATAACAAATCGCTTAACGGAATGTGTTGACCAGATATTCAGCAGCTCTTATGGGGTGACACTAAATTCTTCTTCAAAAGGTTAGGAAAAAAGAAAAAAAGTCCTGTAGTTACTGAGAGATAGTAATGCTGAAATTAAGAATCAGACTGTTTTCTAAAATTAAAATTGTTAACACTGTACTCAGTGAAGAAACTCTCTAAGAAAAAGCAGTCTGTACTAAATTCTGTACTAAATTCTGTACTAAAGCGCAGCCTATAGGGAAGAGCAGAGTCCACTTTCACCTAAATTTTTATCTTAACTCTTTTTTCACTTCAGCTGCTCTGCATACCGTTCTACACATGAAATACCCTGAGAAATGAATGGTGACAATAATTCATCCAGCTTTTTAACAGAGAACTGTATCCCTCTTTCTCATAAAGAAGAAAGATTTGAAACTTCTAAAGAGTTAGAAAAATTAAAAAATGAGATGGAACAAGTCCAAGTTAAAATCTCCTTGTAAAACTATTAGATTATACAAATAATTCAGTTTCATGAAACACACAACACAGATTTGGTTATCAGGTCTATTTTGGGGATTCATGGATAACAGTTGTTTCATAAAGTTAAATTTAAAGAAGGGATGTCAAGCTCAGTTCATACATTAGGGCTCATCTAATAATCTGGGTGCTCTTTCTCAGCAAGTAGATGAATACAGTCAAGATAAACCATGTATTTACATGCCAATTCAATGATATTGATATTTCCTGATATCTAGCACCCGTAAGCTTGAAAACAGAAATCACTGAAGCCCAAACTGGCATGCCTGCATGGCAGACAGCCTGGATAGCTCTGAAGCAGTGTGTAGGATATCTGCCATGGTACAGACATGCTCAAAAACTGCTGAGGAAAATAGGAAAGAACGTATATGAGGATTAATAATTCTATCCTACTTGAAAAAGGAAGCAAGGGGAAACTAAATTAGTCAATAACTAATTAGTCCAAAAACAGAGCAATTAAAATTAGATTTATGATCAGATTTCTTCATGTTTGTATTTTTGATGTAAAGAGAGCAAGTTTTCTCAAATAAATACACCTTTATAATGGCTGCCAGACCTTTGTGTTATTGTCCAAGTACACTGTTAGGCATACAGAACCAACATATGCCTGACTTGAGAGGTTACATCATTTGAATTTTCAAAACTACCTTAACAGATAATGAAGTATTACAGGATAGATATTGGTTTGAGAGAAAAGAAATCTGAAGCGTAATAGGTAACTCACCACTTCACGTCATCATTATGACCAGTGTAATGTCTCTGAAGTTGTTCTTCAACGTTGAATAACACGACTACAGATGCGATGAAATACACAGTTTCACCCGTTGGAAGAAGATACAGGTTACTGCGACAGTCCCGGCCCCGATATCCATAGCTAGCATGTTTGTCAAGCTGCAGTAACGTTATTTATGAATTAAGAATGTTAAAAATAAGGAAAAATGAAACAAAATTCCTGATAGTTGGCCTCTCCTCGCTTGAGCACAGCTTTATCACTTAAAAACCTCCAGAACAGTAGAGAGAGCCAAAGCATTTCATTGCTTGAGTGCCTGAAAAATCTACATATCATATAAAAAAAATACACAGTAGAAAAGACAAAGGCAGCATTTTGTAGCCATAGCACCCCTTCAGTATCCTCCAAAATTTTCTAAATGCGAGACTAAGACATCACAGCAATTCCAACGCTGTCCCAACGTGTTTACCATTTATACGGGTTGACAAAATAAAAACCTGGACTTGATGGAAACACTGGTAAGCCATTCAGTACATCTCCCTGCATTACATTAGGGGGGACTGCATTATCCTTTGTTCAGGTTGATTGATTTCATTATCCTGGTCATTACCAACCAGATGGATAAAAAAAAACATAGAACAGTTACATCATACATTCTGATTTATTTTTGTAGCATTTAAAAGGCAGCGGCCCAGATTCTGATGCTCATCATATCAACACTAATTTAAAATTAATTCAATAAGCTAACTGGAATTAATCCAGAAATAATCTCATTTAGACTGAATGTGAATTCAGTCAAATTACGTAGTTTTATTTTTATGAAGAGTCATCAGGGACTACAACTATTTTGGCTTTCCCTTTTTATGGTAAAAGAGAGGAACAATATTAGCAGAATCCTGGCAAAACAGAAGAGCACTGTAATTCAATCGTTATGGAGAATCTGGCCACAATGGATATATAGAAAGGTACTGCTGAAACCCTCCATCACCTGATACTATAAATATATCTGTGCACTATTCCCTCCATAACCAGTGATAACACAGCCAAACTAAAAGATCCATGTTAGCACAGGACTACAGGATGTAAGGACTACAGTTATTTTACTCCTAAAAACAAAAACAGCTGACTGCTGTTTTCTTATGTTTGTTTTTAATATATGTAATGAACTGCATGCACAAACATTAAAAATATATTTTAAAAAATTCAAAAACACAACATTTAAATTCCCAATTTGGCATTTTTTAGCCAAAGTTCCTTTAAATTTGAGATATTTAAATCTGAAGAAATAAAAATTAACAACAAAAAAAAAGTACATATTTTTAAGTTATGAAGTACTTATTATCAATTCCTAACATGTCTGTAAAGATAAGATACTACTCTAGATCACAGACATTACTCAATTTGTTTAAACTTATTATTCTCTGTAAAGCCACAACCAATTGAAGTCAACAACATTCACTGAGTTCAGCAAAATATAGTCAAGTTGATAACAAATTAGCAGCTCATGTTAGTGTAAGAAATAGAATTTTTTAAAAAGGTAAAAACATTATATAGACATTCATGAGGAAGAAATCACTGTGCCTAGAAAAAAACTATTACATGGAAAAGATCACATTCTTTAGGAAAAATCTCCTTTCTTTACCATTCTTCCTGTTGGGAACAATGCTGCATTCAACTGCATGACTGCCGTTGTCAAACATTCAGTTTCTTTCTAGCCATCCTTTTTCCTCAGATTTAAACTCCTGGGGTTGATCTCTCCTCCTCACAATTTCCCACACTCAGATTTCGTGCCGTCAACTTTGATTTGGTGAGCTGGCACTTCAGCAAATGTTATCTTGACCTTTTCTTTTCTCTTGGCCTGCAGCCTTTGTTTCAGACCTCCTGCTTACCAAACGAGCTGCTCTCAAACAATCTCTGCAAATTGCTGCCCTCTCCCTGATCTACCCAGTGCTGATGTCCTGCTTGGCACTGCCACCTCTGCTCCAGCCCTCCCTCACACTTTATCATTCAGCATTTCTATTTCTTCACATCTGATTGTATCTGATTATCTGAATCTGTAGTTGTTGTCTTTTTTCCCCCCCCTTTTTGCCTTTCTCCTCAAATTATCTTAAAATGTGAGCAGGAGTGTATCTTTTCTCCATTACAGTCTCTAAATCAAGCATTATTTTATTCCCTAATCTATTCCTCTTTGAGTCCTGTAGACACCTAGTCATTGACGTAACTTTGAAGCATGGATGGCATTATTGGGCTTAACTGTAAAGAAAAAATCTGGAAAAAAACAGCATAGTATTTTTTCTCCTCCATAACCACTTAGGGTTAGTTGGAGCACTTCATACCCTTCCTATTTCTAAATTCATACCTTTTCTATTAATACTAAACATTAAAGTGGGATTATGCTGGACATATAGATACACAGCTGGGAGGACATATGAATATTCAAACAACAACAACAGTCCATCCAGGAAATAGTCATTTAGGTAAGCTTAGGTGAGAAATTAATGAGACTGAAACCGTGACTCCAATTATCATTTGTTGCAAGTCTGTAATATTAGCATCAGCTTCCCTGTATACAGTGCTAAGGGCAGTCTACTTTGATTTTGTTTTTTGTGGGATTTGTTTGCTTCAGAAAGCATCTTATCACTCCCCATGTCATTCTTTTGCCCCTTCCTTAAGGGGGAGACTGTGCAAACTTAAAAAGACATCATTCGGTTGTTTTGTGATATACATACAATGATTCAATGGCAGAACGCTGCAAGCAGAATTTATTACTTTATTATCAACTGTTTTATTAATCTGTGGTGCCCAGATATTTTTGGTTTAATTGACCCTCAGTTATTTCTGTATGCATTATCTATGCAGTTCCAGCAGAGTTGGGTAGGACCCACAAAAGCTCAGCTGCAAAAGGAATAGCAAGAATGGTTACTAAATCTGTCATTAATCTCCAGCGAATACAATGGGACTCTTGGAGATTCTGTGTGCAATCTGAAACCACATGGAGTTCTATTTATACAACTTAGAAAAAGAATATTTGCAGCTTTTCTTTTTTTTATGAAGACAAAGCAACATCCTATTTGTACTGCTCAGGACCAAAAAAAAATCTTTTCTTAAAATAGAGGTCCTTACGAAGGCTTAATCTCTCTAAAGGTAGTGGATCTTACAAACAGATGTTTGTGATTATATTTTATCATAAATCACCTATTTTTTTTTAATACACAAATTTAATTTTGTTCTTTTCTAAGGGTAGATGTTTCTTATTACTAATAAAACTGAAAGGTGACAATTTCCCTATGTGATGAAACACTAGATTTTTTTTCCAAGTCAGAATTCTGTAATTGTATCCACTTAGAAATATCAGTGGAAAATTCTGGTCATTTGACATTTACGCTGCTTAAGCACAGCTGAAATCTAAATGCAAGTATTATTTTATCTGATATCTTGTGGACTTTATTGCTGGCTCCTGTCAATTGCAAGACACTGTTCAGTTCTAGTATTATCCAAACACTGCAGCTGTCCTTGTAAGAAGCTGCTGTAACAAATGGTGCACTTTTTATACAAGACAGTTCAAAATGATAAATTATTGCTGAGAGTCAGCAAAAATATACCTTAGATTGTTTTATGCATACCGTAATTAATAATCACTGTTCACTACAGTCATACAGCATGCCTACTTTAATCTTCAGCTCATTAGCATGCTTCAAACTCAACCTTCAGGCAAAGTTTAAGCAAACTCTTCAGCTGCCACCCTGTAATTCACTGAGTGCAGAACAGCAGGCCTTGAGAAATGAGCACCTACTCGAATGGAACGTCACCTTGCACTTCGCTAATGAAGCATACCTCATTAAAGAAGATCTTACATTTGCTATATTCAGCTCTAAAATTTATTTAAAACACATCATAAAGAAATCATTGACTTAAAGTAGTTCTCCAACACAGAAAGGATACACCCATTCCAGTTTAAGCCTCTTGGCTGGTAGTTCTACTTTTGCTTCCAAATTGTAAGATTCCACTTGCTCTTTGGGCATGTACATGGTAACAGGACGTCCACGAAGAAACATTTTTACATATCCTTCCTCTACAAAAGGTCAGAAATGTTTAGAGTTACACCAAAAAAAACATCAGTGGAGAACTCCAGTGCTCGTCCATCCCTTCCCACTTAATAGTTTGGTGCGTTACAATTACAGAATGACATGCAATCACAAACATATAAAATAAGCAGCTTTCTTTTCCCCTAAATCATGTTTACTATACAGGATTATTATTATTATATATTTTTTTAAAGTAAAGTCCCTTTTTCCTCTAAATATTTTGAAAAGAATTAGAATTAAACAATGTCATGAAGAACTAAAAAAAGGTCTAAGGACTGCAATTAAAGAAAATTACATATAACATTTTTTAAAAATGTTTCAAAAGGGGAAAACGTCAAAGATTACAATTAACACAGAAATGTCACTTAAAATTAATTTTATTTTTTAATCAATATTTACAATGGAGCATCAGCATCTGAAGTATTTTCCAACACTCAGTCGCATTCTTTGCATATCAGTGTAAAGACAAGCTTTACACTTGATACAGTGTTAGAGATACATTTGAAATAAGGAACATGAACAGTTAGTAAAAGAAATCATGCTGATGTACATGCAAAAAAAGATGTTTTAAGAATCACTAAACAATGAGAAGGAGTGACAACATTGACAGCACATTATAGAAAGGAAAATGACAGAGGAGAGAAGCTACAAAAACTGAATTGGCTGACAAGTAAACAATTTCTAAAAGAAAATACTAAAAATAATTTGTTGAATTCAGGAGAAATATTTTTGGGGAAGAGAAGGAGGGATTAATAACAGATCTGGAAGTACTGACTTGGGGACTTCATGGGGCTTATAAAACTAGGAGATCTGGCAAATGCCATGAAGGTCTGACTAGGACTTTTGGGAACAGGCAAGGCCAAAGTGGGTGTCCTGTGAACTTCTGGTGAAGTTTGTCCACATTCAGAACGTGCTGGCTCTTGCTGCTCCATCGGCAGATCAAGGAATTCAGCCTTGTTCTCATGCGAATCAAGCAGTTTTGGAGTCAGTGACATCTGTAGAGTTACTAGACAGAATAATCGTGGGCACAGAGGAAGTGGAAGGGCAAAAGTAACAAAATCATGTAAATAGAAAAAAAATTAACACTTTAGGACTCTTAAAATTACACTATGAATTGCTAAGTATCATTACAACTATGCTATGTTTTAGTTTGAAAATTAAGGCTTTATTTTAATTGGAAATGCATACATCAAATTTCGATTAAATGAATAAAAATTATAGGTTGAACAAAGTAATCTTATAGCTATGTTATATTACCTACATACATGTGTATTTTGCTTTTAGGCTGATTCATTCGGGGGAGATCACAGTAAAGTTACAGCTAGGGCTCTCTAAAATCCCCTAGTGTATAGAGTTCACAGATATAATGAAAACAATGACATATAATGAGAACAACAAAACAATATTAAAACAAAACACCAAAACAAGAGAATAATAAAAGTGACAGATGGCAGGAGTTCATGAAGCCTGTTAAGAAGTGCCAGAATACTGGAATTGATATTAAAAATCTACTCTGATAGATCTGTATGGGAAAATAAAGAGGATAGAGCATTAAATAGCAGAGCATTACAGCACTATTTGTATGCGCATGCAGCATCTATTTAATGAGCTTCAAACACAAGCCAATGCTACTGATACTAGTGCACTGGAATTTAATAGATTTTCAGCAGTGACAAGTCTGGATTGTGCTTATCAAAGGCTGTGAATGGATGATAGTTTAATTCATCGAGCTGATTTTCTCAATTAAAACATCACGGGACTCACAAAACTTGCATTTAAGCATCTACAGTGCAACTGTCCACATTTGACCTGGTCATTCAAAACTGCTTTTTAGAGTAAATAGGAAGAAGCAGGTACTTTTAGAGGAATTAATCACACTTGAAAGCATGTGTCCAAGGCCAAAGTATATATATTATGTCTCTAGCATGCCTCTCTCTCTCTAACTGTAAACAGGAATTTAGGATGACTAGGCAAGGCACAGAACTATATATTTATTTAGAAGTTTTGGTAATGTTAATTTTACAGGTACCAGTTTTTGTTAGTAATACAAGTATATTATCTACTTAGTCCCCTTATTTTTCTTAACTAAATCTTTAAGACAGCACAGCTCCGTATGCAAAGATAGTTGTAAAGACAGACAATAAAACTACAAAGACAGATCAGTGGTGAAACTTCTAAACAAATGTATCTTTTACATCTGCAATATTGTGAATTTAGAACTACTGTTGAAAATAACTATAAAAATTAATAGCTATTGAATTGAAATTAGAAGACGTGAATGCTAGTACGATCAGCAAAGATGATCACTACTGATTGCATAAAACTGTATGACTACACAGAAGTAGAAATCCTGTAAAAGACTTTGCCTTGGGAATAAACATTTTTAAAATGAAATTTTACATTTGTTGCAAAGGTGAAAGATGCTGATTAGTGGAAAAACCGTTAGGAATAAGCTATCTCTAAAAGCAAGACAAATCTGTGATTGTATCACAGACATAAACATGCATCAAAAATGTGCATATTTACACTGCAATTTAGCTGCAACTTCAGAAAACACTATGGCATGTTTACCAAATAGAACTCCGCATTATGACATTGAGCAAAAAGCACTGAGAAATTAGTTGGAGGCCTAAATCTGCTTACTTAGCATTCAGAAAAATCTAACTAAGTTCTACTCAATATGAAAAAGCAAAGGGAAAAAAACAAGGCTTCTATCATTGTGTTAGACTACCAGCAAAACAGCCAGAGGGGCAAATCTATATGAATTTCAGCAAAAGTGCAGAACACCATTTCAAACACAGTGAACATCCACATGTTGCCATATAGCTCTCTCAACATATTTTTTTCTATTTCAAATTCTCCTGAAAAATCTGTGACTCAATTATAACCCATTACTATTTTTACAGTGTATCTGCAGGTTATAATTCAGTAGATTGTATAATGGATGGAATAATATTTTTGTTCTACTCAAAAGAACCAGAAAAGTTTTAACACTGCAAAATGCATGCAAGTAACAAAACTGCAGTTGATACATAAAGCTTTTATCACGCTGGCACCATTTTGCTTCGAGAGCTATGAGGTTTTGGAAGTGAAGCCTACCTTTGCAGTGTGTCACACGGCGCTTCCCTTGTGGTTACAGAGACAGAGACAGAAGGGCTAGATAAAGATGTGTTCCAGTACAACAGCCTCACTATACACCTGCTCTACAGGCTGTCCAGGGGCACTCTGCTGGAAGCTACCTTGCTTCCTGACAAAACCTGAGCCATCACTACAGACAAACGTCTCCTTTGTTTCACCTAGAAGCACTGTTCAGTCCCTTTCTCTTTCAAAAGTATTTAAGCTTTACTATGCAACTACATGCTAACAGTAACTAAAATATCAGGTATAACATTCTTAGAAATAATAATTTCAGTAAGAATTTTGCCCAGGAGGGCAAAGAAGGATAGAAACAGTATAATGTGTTTAGTTACCAACATTTATCTAGGGAAGTGCTACAACAAAAACTATTCCAAACACCTTTTCTTCTCTTGCACCATGTAAGCAATGCTATGCAAGAACTACAAACTCTGTGTGAATCCTCAAGATTTCTTTTTATGAAACAATGTTTTCAGGAAAGGAATGTAGATAATGATTGTATTGTCACAATGTATTTAAATACTCAATTGTACATATTTCCAAGTTCAAAACCAGTTAACATACTAACTGTTGAAGAATGGCATAAGAGCTTTGTTGGATGCTGATCAATCCATTCGGTAAACTAGGGATTTTCTTGTTCAGCTTAATGTAAGCTTACTGTTACACAACTATAAACAACAAGAATATGAAAAAAAAATTGATAAATGAGCCATTTTCTCCATTACTTATTCTATTGTAGTGAAGGATTTATTTTAAACCTGTGTTTTTCCAGGACAAATATTACTTAGACATCGTATTCAGTTTCTTATCTTCATCAAGGACAAGGACTGGCTCTTGCACTAATTCCTCATATTTTGCTTTTGCAATCTCGTAATAAAGATAATACACAAGGAAAAAAAATATGACTTAAATTCAAGCTAGATCTCCAAAACCATAGCTTCAATACACCTTCATTTGTAATCTGACAAATTGTATTACAAGGCATGGGGATAGATATGGAATTCTTTAAAGGGAGCAATCAAGTACAGCTTGACTAAATTAATGCATCATAACTGGAATGTAGTAATACTTCAATTAACAGAACTTTAATATTGCTCCAAAATGAAGACACATTTGAGGTAAGACATTGCCTTTTTCTTCTTTGTCTTCTTACAAAGAATCCAAATTAAATAAACCTGCTAGGCCAATAAAAAGTAGAGCAAAACTGCTCTTTTTTTTTTTTTTAAACTACATCTATATACATTATTGATATACCCAGTAAGTGTCATGCTTAGAATCCCAACACCAGTTCCTGAATATTGGCAAATAAAATTATCACAATTTTAAAATGTTTTAAAATGCTAAAAAGTTCCTACCTGCACTGAACATTGGCTCCTTGGGTTTGCTGCAAAAATAATGAAGAAATTTCTATTTTAAAAAGCCCATGCAAAGTATCCACACACAAAGCTGTTGATGCAATATAAAATTAAATATATTTCTATATAAGTAATGATAGAATTCAATTATTTACAGTGTAAATCTCAAAGCAGACAAAATTATAAACAGAGTTCATGATGGTTCCTTAATGACAAATATCAACACTTTTTTGTTTTGTTTTGTTTTTGAACATTTCTTTTTGTATTCTTACAAACACAGATTTTCTACTATTACCAGATCCTCCCCTCCTGCAGCATTAGTAGGAGAACATGGAAATTGGCCTAGAGCATTTGCCTCAAGTTTTGGTTTGCAGTCAGATAAATTCGTCATCCTAAAAAGACCTTCAGATATCATTAAAACTTAGGAATATACTCTTAAATACAACATCTCTTTGTATATACAAAGAGAGCTACAGTATATGTAGCTATTTGCTTCATGACTTTGCTCTCTCTGAACTTAAGGATAAAATAAAATTTGAATGGTGCTTTCCCAAAGAGTTTACATAGAAGATGGAACTGCCCAATTGGTTCCTGATGAACTGCGGCATCCAGTGAAACCCAGGAAACACGTATCTATCATTATTAAAGCACCTTCTTTCCCAGTGCAGCATGCAGAAGACAAGTTAAATCAGCTTGCCTTTTTGTCTTGAGAAAACTATCTGGGAAAAAGTGAGGGAAAAATACATAAATACATGCAGATAAGGAAGAGACAGAAAAGATGAGTTGCTCTCTGGATAGTACTACCCTGCTATCTTGATCAAAAAGAAGAAATCTCAAGAAATAACAGTTGTTTTGTTTTCTTTACCCTTCATCGCTGTGTAATTAATCTTAAGGGAGCTGTTTCTAATGAAATAGAAGGGTCATTAAGTCGTATCAAGCAGTTATCTTTTTCCCAGGTCTATATTCTTCATACTCAATAAATTTCTGAAACATCAGGTTACTACAGCATCGTTCCTAGTGATCACAAAAGAATTGAAAACTCTGCAACTTCAGTGGAGAGAAGTGGAGAGATGCATGAAAAGGATGAAGTATCCACAGAGCTTTGAAATGCAATCTCCACTTCACATCCAAAAGTGCAGTTGGAAGATAAAGAGAAACTAAACTGGTTGCATACTTGCACAGGATTTTTTCGAAGCAAGATTCCCCCCTCTCTACAAATGAAACTGAAGCCACAACAAACTATCTGAGTATTTTTCATCTTCCTTTGATTTGACTCTGCTGTGTTAAAATAATATATTTATCTAATAATTGAACCAACCAACAAATGAATTATTTCGGGCTCACCTGGTACAGCAGCTTCTAATAATGCCAGCCTGGATATTAATCATGCAACAAAATTCTTGCACCAATCTGGCCCACAAAGCCAATCTAAATAAGTACCATGATGTGTTACCATTTTTAACACCAACATTAAATTAAATTCTTATGAGTGAAGATATTTATAGTAAATAAGATCTTTATGAGATGCAGCATTAGTCAGAAATGCTACATTTCTAGAGACAAGACCTCCCAGTTCTAAATTGCCCATGCTGACTTATACAAGTTAATGCAAAGGGCTGATTCATTACAGTAATAAAGCAAGCCATGTGTACTTTCTAATTATAAAAAATCATAACCAGACAGAGCTTTGACTGCTCCTTTTCTTTTTTCATGATCTTGAATCATTTCCTACTTACCTAAATTTTAACAAAGACTTACCTCTTGCTCAGAGTGATAGGGAACTGGGAAAGCTCAGGCTACAGTCCTCACTTCCTCATCCTTTATTATTAAAGCTTCTTAAAATACCTTTCTAAAGCAATATGACATTGCACAATGGGCTACAACTGTACGTAGAAGTATGTTGAAAAATAGTAATTTCAATATTGCCTTTTTTAGATTTCTGACATGCATTCTGCTTTAAGCCTCATCTAGAGAGCAGAAATAACACGAGAAATGAAAAAGGCTGTGAGTAGTTCAGTAATGCTCTCTTCTTCATTCTTACACACATATAGTTAGCTTTAGGAGGACAGCTTTAGCTCCTGGCGTACAGAATCACTCTTATTTTTCTTCTAGTCCCATGACTCTTGCTCTATGTTCTGCACAGTTGCCTGCCTTCAGCAGCAACTATGAGGAAGACTTTACCCAGACTCTTCCACAGGATAAAGACACTCTTCAGTGAGGTAAGAGCTGTGGCTCTGAACATCCGCAGGCTGCATGTGATATAAGAAATCAGGCCTTTTATCTCCTGGGAAAACTCTCTAATCACACAATTACTGCTCTAACAGCAACATCAGCCACACTAGCACCACCTTATGCTATCTAACGTGGGCTCCCAATTAGATCCTTAGGAAATTTCATTTAAATAATGCATTCCATACATTATTAACATCACTTGTTTATGGGACCACTAGGTAGCTGCTAGAAGTTGTATCTTCTTTTAAGTAATCAAAAATTTATTTAATATTCTCATCCGGTTCCTTTAGTAGCTTTCATATAAAACTAATCTCAGATAAATTGCACTTTATGCAGGTATCAAGTAGAGAGGGATAGCTTCAAACCAAAACTAGTAGTAATTTCATCACTCGCATTTAGGCTGTTGCCTATTAGTTCACAAGAGCCTTAGTCAGTCTCCACACTGAGAGAAGATGCCAAAGAGATTTAAATAAGAAGTTTTAGAATCATAGAATATCCCAAGTTGGAAGGGAGCCATAAGCATCATTGAGTTCAACAAGAAGTTTTGTGCCCTACCATTGTCTCATCAGCAATCCAATGACTCTGATAAAGGCACTCATGCACAGACAGAACAGGTGAATTACATTATTCTGTAATCTTCATCAACACTGTTTCTCTTGCCACATCATCTGAGAATCTCAAAACCACCATTAACATCGCTTTGTACATAAGGAACTGTAGCAGGACAGAGATCAGGTGTAATGGCCATGAGCCAATGGCCAAAATCTGTCTAGGAAATACGGGAAATAATCAATTGGTCAAAACATTGATCTCACCACAAACAATAAATCACCTATATCTTCAAGACAACCTATTCTGAAACTCTTGGAAAAGACATTTTCCTTTTGTTACTGTCAATACAATACAAGAAGCACCATCAAAATGCACAGAGATGCAAATCACTTTATTCTGCTTCTTTAGATAGTGCCTGCACATAAGTCTATTTCTCCATTTCGCATTCATCTGACTTAAACTGAGACAGTTATTACTCATAAATCAACTAGATATCATTCCACATGTGTGAGGTGGTGAGCATTCAATATTGCCTTTTTAGATTTATGACATGCATTCTGCTTTAAGCCTCATCTAGAGAGCAGAAATAATTCAAAAAAAGATCTTTTCACAAAGAAAAATTCAAAAGAAAGATTTGAAGTCTCCTAAAATATGTATTTTTGACCAACTGGTAGAGGTTTTGTGTTTGTTTTTTTTTTTTTTAAACACAAACAAATTCTAATATTTGCTGAATTGAAGAAACAAATTTCACTGTTAGAGCAGAAAGCAAAAAAGAATGAAGATGGCCATTCAAGAAACACTACCTTTCACTGTTCTTTTTACCACTGGATGAGCTGCTGGTGGATCCAGTGCGGTTGCGACTCCCTTTGGAATCTCCATAGCTTTCCCTCCGGCCTCCTGGGGACACACGCTCAGCAGAGCTGGTTCTCTTCACAGTACTAATGAGAAAAAGGGATTAAGCTTAACAGTAGAACTTGTAGAAGTACACACCTAATGACAAACATTCCTGAGAAATGTATCAAATAGAAAGCTGGCCATAAAAATAGCAACATGATTTTTTAATCAGAAAACAACTTGCTAAAGATCTTATGTAACAAGTTCTGCTGAGCACCTGTTGCAACAGAGATTAACATACTTCTTTTGGCCCGGTTATAAAAAAAAAAAAAAAAAAAAAAAAAAAAGGGCCACACTAACATCAGACATCTGTAGCACCTACTTTCCATATCACCTCCCAAATCTTTGAATACCATCCTACACTTTAAAATTCAAAAAGAAAGGAACTCAAAGAAAGCACATTATACAACACGAGCAGACAACAGAAAACATCAAAAATAGGTCAAAATTTGAGCGCTAGCAAGCTAACCAGCATCTTCATTCAAAATCAGTTACGCTGTGGTTCAAAGTTAGTTTTAACACACTCCAAAGAAAAACTATGAAAATGTAAGCTAGCTCTCCATTCATTCGTCAAAAAAACATGCTTCTACACTGCACGTACAAATAGATTACATTTCCTGCCCCTGATAAGGAGTATCTCAGAGGCTTAAGTTTCTACCACTCTTCAACTGTCCCTTTGGCAAAGATGGCTGTTAGGAAGCTCCTGCCTGACTTTCAGACAGACAGCTCTCTCCGACAGAACCACGAGGCACAACAGGAGCAGTATAACAGAGCATACAACATCGGTGACAAACTACTATGGTTTTCCATTAGTTCAAAGCACTTTTCTCTGAAGCAATGCTTCCTAGGGGCAAGGGGAGTAGGTGACAAGTGAGCTAGGCTAGGTGCCTCGCTTTACTCCTTTCCCTGGGATGCAGAGAAGGGCTGGCAGCAGTGCTTGGGATGAGGCAGGAATCATTTCCACACTACCAGCTGGACAGAATTTGATGCTGGCTCCTTTCTCCCAACTCTGCCTTCTGTTTGCTTTACATTCTCCAAAGAAAAGAGCAGGGACATTTATGCACCTTTCCCCACATCCTATGTTGTGTCTGTCCATATAAACATTTTGGCTTTTTCTGCTCCTGCCCTCCAGGTCCCAGTCTCATTCCAGTCAGTTCCTTTGCCAACCCCAGCCCTGTTACCTTTTACACTCCAGGGTGTTCTGCTTACCATAAGGTTCAGTTCAGGCATCACCATGGACTATTCCAGGCCTCCTCATCAACTTCTAAAAACCATCCCTATCGTATTACCTCAGTCAGCTTCTCAGACTGCCTCACTTCACAGATAGTGTAAAAAATAGAAGCATCGACTCTTCATAAGTAAAGGAAGAAAAGTAGACTTTTCTGTGTGATCAAAACACAAAACTGTACAATACAATGGATAGATCTGAGCTCAAGTCACTGCAAAGACGACATTTTTCTGAGAGGAAGCTCCATGCATTCAGGGCAGAGCAGATACATCATGTGATGCATCTCAGGTGGCTTGACAAAAATCTTTCCAGAATGTGCAGTGGTAGTGCAGATATTCAGTGCTGTGTTTTTGTATTAAGAACAAGCACTATTCAAAGGATTAAGCTGAAACAAAAATGTTTCTGTGGAGAGAGTGATGTAAGAGAGCAAGCAGAATGCTAAATTGCACACAGGGACAGACTGAAATAATGCACGGGAGAAGCAAAAGGCAGTGAAAATTCAATTCTGTTGTCACGTATGGCATCACTGTTTCCTAAGCCAGCCATACACTCCCCAAGTCTTCTCAATGCCAAATGCATGGGGGGGAAAAAAAAAAAAAAAAAACATTCCTTCCACATATTTGATAATATATTACAAACATTTAACAGTTCTCTGTCTTATTAACACCATTCCATAATATTACTCTAGGCTAACATAAAGCAGCCATGGTACTGAAAAGTTTTACTCCACATAAAGTACCTTTGTCAGCTTGTGCCCTTTCACTACATTTTACTACCACAAAACGTCAGCACTGCGTGATTTTGCAGTATCAAACTCTTATTTTGACATCATCTCTTTAAACAGAAAAAGATGACACAGTATCAGCCAACACTGAAATTAAATGAAGAAAATCACCAAATTGTGCTAACGTTAGAAAAACTGTAGCAGTTATGGAAGCAGCTTTAAACTAATTTAATATTGCTTGGGGTTTTATTTTTACAGTTATCAACATTCAAAAGATGAATGGATGGATTAAAAAAAAAATGAACAGGCCTAAAGCTTAGAAGTGCAATGTTATCTTTTTACTGATGAAGCCTTATATCAGTATAAAAACTTCTTCTACCACAATAGAAGAACAGAACTCTTTTAAGTTATTTTAGGTCCATTAGTGTTTAAGCTAACTAGCCAAACTATCTTCTGACAAATTTTAAACTTCCACCAACAGCAAAAGCCCAGCGAGACATATTAGAGAATGATCAGAAAAAGATGATCACGGCAAGATATTTTAATTCCATTGCATTAACTCAATTTTGGCAAATACACATTTTGGTTTCTCCAGTGTTTAACATCAGTATGGCTACAGCAGACATACGGACACCTGAGGAAGAATTTAAAAATGATAGGAAATATTCATTTAACTTACAAGACTGTAAGAACACGACTGGATTCCAGAATTTGGCTTCCACATTAGTGATATGAAAGGAGAACATCTTCAATTTTTAAATTAAAAGGTAATATTTGTTAGCACCATTTTTAAGCTTAACATGGGAACGTGAGTTAATGAAATACAGTAAAAGTGATGTTAGCATAAGAGAATGGAGATAACATATCAGAAATCATCACTGGATAAGTAAAGCAATGTGTTTATCGGCAATAAGTTTTAAATGCACTTATGAGAGTGTTAAAAATCGGAATAATAATTACAGTTCTACAGTGTTTAATGCTGCCATTAAAACAGCCACTTTCTATGTGTTGAATCAGAATAGAAAGGAAAAGCAATTGAGCTTCAACACTACAAAGCTATTAAGAATCCCTCACCTTAGAGCAGGCTTTTTCAGTTTGCATGCATTGAGAAGATTCACAGACCTGCTTAATCCACATTGAGAGGTGCGTAAACAAAGCAGAATAAAAAGTGAATGCAACAATAAAACATGGAAAAGACATTTAAAACAAGCTTCCATTAAAAGACATCATTGCATGCATTTAAGATATGAGGTCACGTGCAAGAATAAACAGCAAATTATTGGCTCCGGTGTCTGATCATTTCAAACCACCTAAGAACACCAATGTATCTTTGAATGACAAAATTTTAGCAAGGCTCCAAATACACTAAATGTTTCTAAAGCTATTGAGAAAAACACAGAAAAGAAAATGAAAGAGGCTAAGGAAACAGACAGATGATCCAGCTAGGAGACAGAAGACTGTTAAGAAAGCAACAACAAACACAAGAAAATAAATCTTCATACAAATATACACACATCACTGCATAGCATGTATGTTTTACATGCTTGCATCATTGAATTGCAGTGAGCAAATCAGAATAAATATATATATATGATCAAATTTCTGGGGGGAAAGCACATGAAAGCTCTTACAATAAAATACATTTAAAAAGTGTACAGTAGTGAAACTAATAATACTAATATTTTGAGACTTGTCTAGCACTCCTTCCGACTCTCATTTGAATCAATTAGAATGAATTTGAGAATATATGACTTTAATTTCATTACGCCTTTGAGCAAAGCACACTAATAACTTTAATTGTTAGAGATAGTGAAGTAGTGTAATGGCTTTGCCACTTGAAGCTCAGTGGATAGGATTTTTATATTTATATTCTTTTTATTTAAAAACAGGTTTTTTGAGAGTCAAGCATTAAATAGGAGTCTAAACTGAAGGTTTGACACAGAGTTTGCGTGTGCCAGTTGCAAACCATTGTTGCCCTCAGAACAGAATGTAGAACATTAATTCCAGGAGACCGAACAATTTCCTAGGGGCCATGTGTTTAGAGTTTAGAAGAACGGGAATTCATCTTATTAAAGTATTTTATTCTCCCTACAAACAAAGCTTTTTATGTTTTCTTTGTTCCAACTTCTTCCTTTTGATCTCGGTTGTCAGAGTTTTGCAGCATTGTAGTACTTTACAATCTGCTCAAGAACAAAGAATGACTGATTGGCTCTTTCTAAAAGAGAAAGTATATGCTAGCCTACAGTCTGCAGCAGCATCCCTACTGGGAAAGGTACCGACTGCATTCTCCTCCCTTATATTTTCTTTTCCCCTTCAACTATTGGAAACAAAGCTATCCTAGATGAGTCACAAAAACCTAGACTTTAATAGGGAACTCAAAACATTACTACTGTGTGCTGGACACATTCCAGAGGCAAATTTAGTGTTAAGCAATGAACTTCAAGCCACACTGCTTCTGAAAGGAAGAGTGCTGGGGGAAGGGAAAGTTCTGTTCATGATAGAAAAAGCTCATCTTATGCTGGACAAAACTTTCAAATGATTACTCTATGTATGAAGTTCAGAATAAAGATCAGTACTAGGGTTTTTTTTTTTGTGCGTGTAATCAGAATAGCTTAATTTCTGACTTCCACAGATTAAAAGTATTAAACACATTAAATTTAAAAAAAAAAAAAAAAAAAACAAAACAAAGTCCCTGAGACAAGGGGACAAGGAATACTTGCAAACAATTTACAAAGACAAGCAATTCCTGATTATCTGTTTCAGCTGATTACCCAGCCCATCTGTAACTCACTTCAGTTTCACATCAGCCAGCTTGCACCTGGTAGCCGTGTAGCTGTGCATCACATGCTGGCACTGGATAAGAACTTTTGGTTCTAATATCACCAGCATCATCATTTCCATTTTTATTTTAAGTCTTGCATTGCGTTAATTATTACCACATTTTTATCGCCTGATTGACCTGTGTGTTGTACTTGTGCCTTTGCTCTATTCAGGTTATTTCATTCCTTCCTTAGCTTAGTCGAGTTTTGGCTATATGAGATCTAAATGCCAAAGGGGAGCTGGTGCCCTCAATTCTAAATTGAAGTCAGAGTCAGTTGAGGTTACTCAACGCCTTAACAGACCTGGTTCTAATTAACACGTTAGGCCATAACAGCCTACTGATATCCAGAGATACACACTTTACATATGGAAAACCAATATGCATAAAGGTTAAATATTTGCATAAGGTCATTCAGAGAACGTGGCAGAATTTGAATAAAAGTCTGCTAGTTCCACCCTTTCAGCCTCAATTTTTTTTCATCAGCCCCAGTGTTGTATTCCTGCACAAGTAGTCATTTTCATTTCAAATATTAAAAGGGAAATCAGAGAAACGTAGTGAACTCTGAACTGCATCTCCTTGGTAATCTAGCAAGAAGGAGGAGCACCATGCCAATCTGTGGGTTCAAATGAGTTAACTAACACATACAAATGAGGCTGTATTTGTAGACATGTCAATAAGCACATCTATTTCTAAGCAATAGAACGTATGGATGCACATTTGATCCCTGCAGAGATCATTTGTGTATGTTTATACAGATAGGCACTACATGCTGTTTTAAATGGCTATGACATACTTCCTAACCAAATATTTCAAACCAGAATTTACTTCTTTTTAATCTCCTTTTCATAGCAGTGTTGAGTGAAACATCTGGGAAAGACTCCATTAACCTTGATGTTTGCCCCTTTTGAAAATGTGTTCACAAGAAAAAAAAAAAAAGTTATTTTCCTGTTATAGTAGTCCTAGCAGATGTTTGTAATTTACAGCAGCAAACTGCAGGTTTAAAATAAGACTCAAATAGAAAGGTGCTATTTCTTTTTAATATTACTAATTTTCTTTCACTTTTCAAATTTTGAAATATTATTTTTCTTTCTGCACCTATATTGCATATATATATACAAATATATATACACAATATAATTCAAGCTGACAATAAGCTTTGAAAACATCACTTAATACTGTTAAAACATGACAGTTTATCCGAAACCAGAATTTAATAATTTCTTAAAAATTATTTAAAACTACATACCATTTATGAACTGTTCAATGCTCATTAAAGCTTCTTACCACAGACAACTACTATCTCCCGAGGAAAGAAAGCTATTTGATCTTGCTGCTACACTTCCCATGTTGCACCCCCCTATTCTCACTGGGATTTGGAACTGGATGATCTTTTAGGTCCCTTGCAACCTAAGCCATTCTACAACTCTACTTTTACTCATACTCACAGCTCTCAAATGTAAAATGGTCCATTATAAATGCAAAGGATGAATGAATTCATATTAATGAGCTTATCTATTTGACTATTGGCAAGTCAGCTTCTTAGAGCAGTTAAAGTACCACCTTTGAATACTGAATATTTTGTGCATGCTATCCTGTGAAAACACAAAATCCCTTAAGTTATTTTAAAGTTCATTTTTAAAAACAGTACAGAATAATTTACTAAGAGGTTTCTACAGTAATTCATTGGTTAGGAGTTTAACAGTCTACTCCCTTCCCCTCACAGTATATATCCAGGCAAGACAAAAATGCCTTGAAGTAATTTTGCATGCTAAATTGAATCAGTACAGCATACTACAGTGTTAAAGGCAATAGGAATTCCATAGACCTGGACTTTTCTCAGGACTGAAATAATCTCACATTTCTAAAATGTAAGGAATCTGTAACAAGCTTCTGACTAAAACAGCAAATATAGTCAGCAAATTTCTTTCCTAAAACTGCATATACATTTTCATATTGTATACTTAAAGCACCTTCAGCCTAGTTCCTTTAACAAAGGGAAAGGATAAAGCACAATAAAATGATGTTAAAATCCTTATCCCATGGAAGACTTCACTCACAGATGAGCCAAGGCTGTTACACAACACTCACTCCCCAAGGATTCTCCATAAGGACTTTCCCACAAGCACTGAGAGTATCCAGACAGTAAGTGAGTGAGATGAGAAGGCTGCAGGATGCCATTCCCATACATCACAAGTATGCATGGAGCCATGACATTGCCCCACAAGCCACAGAATGATCTTCACCTGCATCTGACTCTGTGCTGAAGCAGGAAGTCCCATGCTGAACCCTGGATAACAAGTGCGCAGAATCGTGAGTCCCACCCTATGTACACAAGGGAAGCCTGCCAATACTTGGGCTCACTTGTTTTCTATTTTGTTTTGTTTTGTACTGAATACCACTTAAAACTCTGCATTCAGTTCACAAGAATAAATTTAGGAGAATTAAGAAGAAGTAATCTGTGCATTTCCTTAAAATTCATGATACACAAAATAGTGCTCCTTTTAAAATACAGATCAATTTTCTCTTTAAAAGTCACATTTTTCCATCCACTTGCAAAAAATTCCGATAACATATTTCTGATAATGGATACATTCATATTGTATTTACCTTCCTTCTCTTATCTATGGCAAACTTGCCAAAGCCTGCAGCTGCAGTAAGGCCCATTTCATAGGAGCCCAGTTCTATTTGTGTGACACTGAAACAAAAAACGCTTTCTAATCTTAATTCTGCATAAATAGCTTCTCTACAATAACAAAATTTGGAGTTTTCTGAAAACCAGTGGTCCTCAAATCAGTAACAGAGCAGAGCATACTTAGTTAACACCTCTCCTTAAGAAGAGACCTTTTACAAAAGAAGCTTCAAACCTCTCATCTCCATAACTTGCCTTCCTCAGACCTTACAGCATTGTCTCTACAAAAAGCTGACGATGACACACAACCAAAGAAATGTTAAAAAAAAAAAAATATCCCATGACATCTAATACATGTGTATATTTTAACAGGCAAACATCACAGCAGAGCAGCAGCACAAGATCTGTCACATTTAACTTGAACTTGGCTCAAGCAAGTCAGTTGCATTTCTTATAATCTAGGTGTATAATCAGCATATATGTAACCTACAAAATACACAACTGAAACTGAGACATTCTAATCATCTAACAGCAATAGTGAGTACCTAAAGCTAGATTTATGTGCATAAATGTGATAGATCCAATTTTTCTCCTTGAGATTCTTGTAACATTTTTAAGATAACTTACAAAATCACCAAAGGTAACACACTGATTTGTAATGATAACAGTTTCTCTACAGACTGTTTTCTTCTTACTATTAGAAACTCCTTGCATTACTTTTCGTGCCACGTGACTAAACAACAGAGAAGAAAAGCTTTATTCTTCGTTAGACTGCAGCAACAAGAAAGTAACAGAAACTGGTAGATTAAGCATTATGTGTTCTTTCAGTATTCAGAGTAATAACCGTAATCATGATTAATTAGACCTAATGAGTTTAGAATCTCCTATAATGAACTCCATCTCTTTTCATTCTGAACTAAGTATTTAGACTATTGCTTTGAAAGTAAGAAAAACCACATAATGGGTCTTCTTCAAGCTTCTAAATATTTCCTCAATTTAACAGTTACAATGTTTCCAAGGCATACATACCTTTTTGCTGCTGGTGATACAGTTTCTTTCCTGGTTCCTGATGGAGAAGGTAAAGAGCCACTTGGTTTCTTTGGTAACACAGTTCCATTATTAACAGTAGTCCTTAAAGGCAGGGTTTGTACCAGCGGTCTTGCTGCAAAACAAGCAGAGGATTAAATCATTGTTTACATATTCTTCTTTTTTTCTCCAGCAAGCCAAAAAAAATATTTTAAAATATTAACTATATATTAATATTAAATGTATTTTTAAATACCTGTAGCATACCCTTTTTTCCCTCCTAAACAAAGTTATGTATGTGAATATGGGTTTTTAAGATTTTTAAATATTTTCTTATTCATAATCACATCAAACTACCTGCACATGGCTTAAGAACACAATTCCATAGCCTGTGCCATCTGTAAAATTCTGTTCTAGCTCAGCGAGCTTACAGGTAGGCACAAAGGCAGCAGCTGCCACCATAAGCAATCCTGCTATTGCCCACCTGGATGGCATTCTGAAGAGTGCTAGAAATAAAGGTAAGCCACAATTCCAGAAACTCCTGGTCTTTATCATTCAACATTCTTGCAAGTTTTCCACAAGCAAATAATCTGTTAATAAATCCTTACTCTCCAGCTACACACATCTGACTTCTTTTAAAGACTGTAGGCTCCTCTTACAAAGAGGAACTTTATTCATCAATCAGAAAAAGCTATTGAAATCATCAAAACAGTGGATTTCATCAGCTGACATTATCTAACTGCAGTCTGATCACTTTGGCTCAAAAAAAGTGTTATGCATATGTAAACTCTAATTACTAGTAGAATAACTGAAAAGTTCCATTCCAGTGCATTAGAAATTAGTTGCAAAAACAAAAAGCGGTTAAAACTGCAAGCAGTGAGTACTTACATGAGAAGTTACATTACAAAGCAAACCTTGGAAACATAGACACAAGCACATCAGTGTTCTCTGCGCAGCAGGGAAGAAAACTAAAGCACTATATATCACCTGAAGTTTGACATCACTTCACATTACAAGCCATCTTTGTGAAGATGCCAGAAGTCTCTAGGTTCAGAATACCCAAAAGAAAGTAGAAGCCCATAAGTCACTTAAGAAACACAAGAGAAAAATCTGGCATCATCTCAAAGCCCAGGGAAAACAGCTGTGAAATACTCCAGAAAAAAAAAAAAGCTCTGGATAAATCTAAAAAAATAAAAATCCTTCACAATTGCATTTAGACACAGATATACAAGATGCAATATGCTTGCATCTTATCGTAGCACAGATTTAAGCACGTACTGACTTGTTCATATAGTGAACTTGTTCATATAGTTCATATAGTATATAGTTCTTATATACTGAAGAAAAAAGAATGAAAGCCTGTGACTTGAGGAGATTGCATCAGTAAATAAGATTTACTCATGAATGCAAGTTTCAAGATGAGCTCTACTTGTTTGACATGTACTGAAGCAGTTAAGTGCATTATGATAGATAGCTGTTTGTTACACGTTCACCATTTATTTATTATATACTTCCCATCAGGAAACAGTGAAGAAATAAGGCTTGTTTGGCTTAGATGACTGAAGGATGACATGAAAACAAGTCAACAAAGAAATAAAGAAAAACTCTAGGCTCCCTGAAGATAAGAGAAGCTGGGATTGATGAGTTTCAACAGTACCACTCCTACCAAGGTTAAAAAGAGCAAGAGCACTCTAATATTACGGGCAGCTTTAAGAAAAGGTGAAACAAGACTTGAATGAACTCATGGTGCCTTCCAGCCCCGTTTCCATGAACTATTTTAACATGCTAATGCTGCCTTTAGAACTGCATTGATTTTTCACTGTGCTAATTTTATTCATAGCCACTTCTATAGCTCTATGTTTTGGATTTGTGACCAAAACAGTGTTGACAGCACACTGATATTTAAGTTGCTGCAGAGCAGTGCTTACATTAAGCCAAGGACATTTCAGCTTTTCACACTGCCCTCCCAGCCATGAGCTGGGGTTGCACCAGGAGTGGAAGAGAACACAGCCAGGAGAGCTGACCCAGACAGGCCAAAGAGGTACTCCATATCACATGGCATCATGCTCAGCAATAAGAGCCAAAGGAGAGAAGAATGAAGGGAAGGACATCCCAAACATTGGCTTTTGTCTTCCCAAGCCATCATTATGCATGATGAGCTCTGTTTTCCCAACAGATGAACATCTGCCTGCCAACAGAAAGTAGTGAATCCATTCCTTGTTTCGCTTTGTTGGCATGCATAGCTTTGCTTCTCCTACCAAACTGTCCTTATCTCAGCCCAGGAGCTTTCCAGCTTTCACTTTTCCAGTTCTCTCCCATCCCACTGGGGAGGAGTAAGCAGCTGTGGGGAACTCCACTGCCTGCCAGGGTTAACCCACAACAAGAGGCACAACAAAATAGTTGAAACCTACTGTACCTCAGCTTCTCATAGCTAAGGAAACAGATATTACAATCCTATTTACTTCTACAGTATTTCGCTCTACTATGTTTCCTAGCCAATTGCTGAAATGTACTAATATAATAAACATGCATTAATGCATAATAACTAACTTACAAAACAGATTCTGTTGTTCATTATAGAATCAGATGGCTACAGTTCAGCAGTTGTACACTTGTTTCCTGACACAATCTCTGTAGCTCACAAAACTTTTGTGAAGCTTTGAGATCACAAGTCAGAATAATAACAAAAGTTAAACAAATGATTAAATATTTTTTTCTTTATTGTTATATAAAAATACTTGCTAAAGGGAAGATGAAGCGAGTTCCAACTGGCATTGGTTTATTCTTTTGACCGCATGAAACTGAAACTAGCAGGAGCCAGCAACAACCCCTCTAACTTTGATAGTCAAAGGTGTTTGCTCTAAATCCAAAGCAAACTGAGACTCCACATTTCTGGAGATTTAAAGATTGAGCCCCATGAGCAAGTTTTGAAAGCAACAACACAAAATTCTTATGTAGCACACAGAAAAACTACAGATTATTCACTTATTCCACTATTTATTCTGGAGCTATTTGGTTTTATTTACAAAGCTATTTCACACCAGTGGTAATTAACGCAACAGTCAAACAACTACAAACACATCATTAACTGTTAGAAGCAGTGGATGTCAGTAACTCAAACACACTCAGATTACTATGCTTTGTCAGTAACATTTATTTGGGAAGTTCTGTTGCTTCAAGGTCTTACCTGTGGTAGCAGCACTGACATGTTTACCAGCCTCAGCAGCAGCTTTTTTAATCATACTCTGATCTATGGATTAATAGGGCCATTAAGTTTACAAACAAACCAATAATTACAAAAGGAAAGAACAACAAATAAGAGTAGAATAAAAGCAGGAAGCATACTGAACTCCACAAAGTAGCTGAATAAAATAAGGAAGAAAAAAGCCACACTGGTGAAGGAGCTTCACAAACAAAAGATAAGCAGCTCTGTCTCTGTAACATATGCTGCTTTTAAGCTGCCTAGCTCAAGTCTAGAATAAGAAGGTGCACAGAGACTGAAAACAAGCTCAAGTTTCTCTGCGTTACTATCTGCTAGCCTTTCACTTAAAATCTTTTAGCCAATTTCACTTAAGATGTATTCAGAAAATTGAGTTCTCATGAACTTTATTTCAGACTTTAAAGAGAACACTGGGATCCAATTTCTGTTTCAAGGGTAAGAGCCTTCCCACAGTTCACACAGACTTTAATCAAAGGCCACAGAGGAAACAAAAGAAAGATCACATGGTATGTTTCAAACAACAGTGGATGAGATTTTGATGACACTGAGATCAATTTCTACTTTTCAAAATTGTAAATATAGAATCAGTCATTAAATAATCAATAAAAAGAAAGTAGATCAAGTGCCATTCAGCCCACATAATGGCACAAGAAGCCACAGTCCCAGTTTCACCATGCCCAAACGGGCTCCACAAGAGGCCACTGAAATGCTTTTCTGAATTACAGTATTGAAACTGAACTTGGTCTTCTGGGCTGTCTTTTATGAAGTAGCTGTGCCTACTACAGAAAAAATAGGGAATGCATCATACTTGACATAGCAGCTGGAAGAAACAATCAGGATACTTCATATTTGGTTTCATGTAATAAAATATGTTAAATAAGGCTGACCATACAATGATGGCACAACTGGTGTGTAATAAAATTAAAGAAATTGAGTGGATTTAGTTAGCAATTATCAAGATTCATTTCAGTAATTTCTATGATGGCTTTTATAGAGCCATATTTACATTACCACATGTAAGGCTTGTTATAGTGTAATTTCACATCCGGAAGTATTTACACCACAAACACACAAAAAAAAAAAGCCATAGAAGGGCAGAAATATCAGCTTATAGAAGTTTCTTTTGAAGGTACATTAAGTATGGCTTTGACTTTCTGCCATAAGTAAGAAAACATTTCCTGATTTAGAACTCAATTGTTCACAAAATCCATGAAAATCTGGCTCTGTATTTTACTAAGCAAAGTCAGCAGGCAAGAACTGATTGGTTACAATTCAGAAATAGTAATTAAACTTTATTTCCTTCACATGCCAGATAAGATCTATTTTGAAAGCAACATAAAGCCACTTCATCTCTTGTACTACCACATTTTGTGGAACATTTTGTTCTAGTAGGAATTATCATCAGAAACATTCAACTTTCTTTTTCAATAAGACAAACAAATTAAAAATGAGGAGAATACAACACAAAGAGAAGAGAATGGGAGAACAAGATCAAGGACATTTACTGTATATTCTATCCAACAAACAGCATCATCTACAATGAACTATTCTGGTTCTGGAATTCTGTATATTTCCTCCTTCCCCATTTCCATTAAACAAACTCAAGATCTCAGTTCAGAAAACCAAGTAGTTTTTACATATTCTGTTAAATCAATGACTAAAAGTAAATATCCATCACAAATATATAGCAAAGGTGAAACAATTTCCAGCCCCTTCCGAAAAGGTATGAACACATAATTAAACAAGACCCTTCAACATAAAGTTTAATTTGTATTAACACATGTCAGGACCCCCCAAAAGAAGCAGATTTCATAATTTAAACAGTAGAGAGACCATGAGCATCTCCTGCTAATGGATACCAAAAAACTTTGATTCATAAGGGAATATGAGTTTGTGTAGCATGCTTTGCTCTGATGTGGACCAAAGATTCACATGCAAACCTGTTTGTGCACTGGCTGTTTTGCTACAGAAAGGCCACAGGGACAGTGGGATATGGACGGGATCCCATGAGGTTCCAGACCTGCATTCCTAATGATGTGGTAAGCTGCTACCTTTTTTCGAAAGGGGAAGAGCTCTGCTGATCCATTTATACAAAGGGTTTGTAAATGTACCTTGGGCAGCAGGCCCTGCAGGTCTGCTGACATCCAGGACTTGGTGATTCTGTGAGGTTTTCAGCAAGAATGTTGGATTAAAATTCCTTGAAGCAATCTAAATAGTGTTCTCTCTTTTTTTCCCTCTACTCTGCCCTTGTGAGGCCCCACTTGGAGTGCCGTGTCCAGGCCTAGGGTCCCCTGTACTGGAAGGATGCGGGAGCAGAGGAGGGCCACAAAGATGACGCTAGGGCTGGAGAACCTCTTCTATGAAGAAAGGCTGAGGGAGTCGGGCTTGTTTAGCCTGGAGAAGAGAAGGCATCAAGGAAACTCCATCGCAGCCTTCCAGTACTTGAAGGGAGCTTGCAAACAGAAGGGGAACCAACATGGTTTGATAGTAAAAGAACAAGGAGAAACAGCTTTAATCTAAAAGAAGGGAGAGTTTGATTGTGAAGTTCAGAAGAAATTTTTTACTCCAAGGGCATGAGGTGCTGGACCAGGCTGCCCAGTGAGGCTGTAGATGTTACATCCTTGGAGGCATTCAAAGACCGGTTGAATGGGGCCCTAAGCAGCCTGATTTGGTGGGAAGCAACTCTATACATGATGGGGGTTGAAACTAGATGATCTTTAAGGTCCACTCCAACTCAAGCCATTCTATTATTCTATGAAGTCTGTTATACACGGACTTCCCACATCAAAATTGTCATCACTTTTATTCCCAGGACAATCCAAAAATATTTGCTAAAATTTCCCACTAAGATTCAAATGAGTTTTTTCCTATGCTTTTACACACACACAGATAACAAAACATAACATCAGTGGGGTTCTAGTAATCCTTTGCTATACTGAAGTGCTGGATATCTCACTCAAGCTTTTCTGTTGCACACACATCAACCTGTTATTGTAGGAAAAGGATCAGGTGAGAACACTCTGCAACATTTGCATAACACAGTATATTGCAGAGTGGCAATATCTATCTTATCTGGAATCTAGATCTGTTATTCCGTAACTGATTCAGGCACTAAAGGTGGCTGTACTTTTCCTATGAACCTGGGCAACATCTTGCCAGTCAGATCACCATTGAGCTAACTCAGTTCTGATTTGTGGTATGCCCACACAATTTTTAACTGAAGTAAAACTATATTTTCTTTAAATTTGAATTGTTTTTTTCCCCCCAATCAAAAAAACTTAGGAATTTTACAAATAGAATATGCAACATTCAATATTAGCTATTACGAAACATTCACCAAAGACTTTATAAATTAATTTTAGTCAGGAAGTTATAGCAATACAGAAACACTTCACCGGTTCACGAGGACTTTGGAAGACTTACAGGTTTAACAATTTAGACTTGTACATGTTCTTTTTGATAGGTCAGATTTCCAACTTTTTGAGTTTCAAGTTGTTGACTTTGACCCTTCAAAAATCTAAAGAATGAACTAGTACACATAAAACATTCTTTGAACTGAACTACCCATTTTACGTATATCTGAAATGCAAACCTTTGGTAGGTCCTTTCTTGTTTTGCATGGCCTGTTGTTCCTCTGTAATATTCAAGCGTCGAACCACATCAGCAAGGGCAGATTTTAGCAGCTGGATGTCATCTTCTTGCATCTGGACACGTTGCTCCAGAGAGGCAATGCGATCCGTTACCTCCATACTGCTTGCAGCAGAGGCACTGTCATCTATGCAAAGGAGCAGAAAAAAACCTATATTACCTACATTGCATAACCATAAAAGAATAGCTCAGACAAATGCCTGGTGGTAAGGTTTTTACTCAGATCTGATGATCTCTTGAGGAAGAAAGCTTTTACGTGACCAAAAGGCAGAGATATGAATTCTCTAATAACAATCAGAAAGAAGTATGATAAGTAAGGTTGGTTTACGGATTACTTTCTCTTAATCCCACTATCAGTTATCCATGTGTTGTAAACTGGAGTTTGGAGTAATAACTATTCAATAACCTACTTCGCAGGACTTTCAAGTGTTGGCAGTCATTTAGGTAAAGAGTTACAACTCTTTATATTCTCTATACCCTTCTACATTTTTATTTCCCATATGTGATAGAACCTATCTATTAGACACATAAGCAACACACAGACTCAATTTTACAAGCACCTTCCATTTGACTGAGAAAACACATTAATTCTGTATCATAAAACCCAATTTACATGAGCCATATTATGAAAACATTCCCTCTGGCCTAAATAGAAACATTAAGTAAATTCAGAATTATTCAAGAGCCGTACTCTTAATCTCCACGTTTCAGAAAGGGTCATTACTTTGTATACAATTCACCCATTATTTGGAAGCAAACCCACATAAGCTTAAAGCCTGCAGCTCACTGATGAGGGCCACACATTCTTTCCACTCCAAACTAGCAATAAGAACATTTTTCCTAAATGAGTACTTTTGTTCCACTACATTTCATATCAAATAGAAACACTGTAATTTCTTACAGTATTCAATTAGGAAAAAAGAAAAAAAGAAGAGAAAAAGCAATGCCAAATATGTCCAAGTTGATGTCTACTAGGGGAAAAAAGAAAAAGTATTTTTTAAAAAGAAGACCATAAGGTTTATTTAACTAGCTAGATTTGAAAACTAAAAGGAATTAGTATTAACTTACTTCATAATTCTCAGTAATAATAGTCTAGTGATTATGGGATTGTAGCTTTCATTTGAGTATTTAGTAAGTTATATTTTATTTTTAAAAATGGTATTTAAATTGCCACCTACAATCACTCACTTTTCTCTGCCTCACGAGTATCTACTACATACATTTGTTCCGCTCAGTTGTTGAAGGCAAGCTCTTTATGAAGAAGGTACTATATGCTTTCATTTCTTGTGTACTTGATTTTCCTCCTTTCCAGATCAGATGTTTCCACTCCAAAAGTACGAAGGCATAAAACGAAAGTTAAATGGTTTGTGCCTAATAACTAGTGTTGAATTTTAAAACAAATCCTTCAAACAGGAAAATAAAAGTTTCAACTTCTGAATGCATTTCAAGGCGTGTCCAAAGAAGTTTATACATACAAACTGTTAATCAAAAAAATCTAGGGAAAAAGATGTATTTAAAATGAAAAGCTCTGTTCATCTCCAATCCAATCAAATACAAGTTGGTTCCTTACTGTTGCTTTTTGGCTCACGTACTTCTCACACCCTCAGCAGTTGTCTGTAGTTACCAAAGTGTCTTGGAAACAACTTAAATGCTATAACAATACAGACCATCCATTAATAGTTACAGACAAACATAGCTTAAGTTGCTTGTTAATTCTTTACAGAACCTTCAGAGCATACATTAAATATCAGCATTAGGCTATTAGAGCTTTTAGCATTGTGTTCACAGTCTAAATCGGAGTAAGCACTCTGTTCAGACAAACTACAAGGGAACTCCCGAAAAATGCTGGAAAAGTTTCCCTCTGAGACAGCCTAAACACTTTCCAAATTTTGGCACAGTCACAATCCTGCTCGGTGCAGAACTCTGAGCTGCAGCTGTTGCAGGTAATTAATCCCAAAAATAAGATTAGCAGACATGCTGGCAGCAGTATGAGCTGCCTGTAGAACTTAACCTTTCCTTGTACAAACAAAAGGCCCATGCTGCTCTAATGACTTTACACTTTAACTCAGCTGGAAATAACATGGATTAGCATACTGGACAATAGGCAACCGAATTGAAAACTTCATTTATTTCATTGGCAATACAAGCCAAAAATCAAGCTTCAACCATTCTGCCAAATTCAATATGGCATGGTATATCTTCTTCTGACTTCAGTCAGTAAAAAATAGCAAGTTTTCAAGATGAGACCTTGAGGAGATATTTGCTGGTGATGAAATGGTCTGCCCCTGGTGTTACAGAAGAAACATTCTCACTGAAGTATCAGTTAGATTCGTTTCAAATTGTAAAGAAATAATAATTCTGCATAACCATAAATCTTCAAACAGTAAATCAGCAGCATTTTTACTTGCAGATCCTTAAAAAAAAAAAATCGCTCCCACTGATAATTACTGCAACGTACATCTCTTTCTTCTTTCCCCTCTCCCAGCTGTCACTGTGACTCTTCTCCATGCATCCTTGCTAACAAAAAACACCAATCAACTCCTTCCTCAGGATATAGCTTATCTGTGCCTCCCCATCACCATTCCTCCTTCTCCTCAGAAATGGAACTCTCATTCCTGCTGCAGCTTCAACTTGCTTTTTTTTGTATCCGCTACTTCACAGGATCCAGATCTCTTCCAAACATGCAGGAAAGAACAGAACCTCCAGCAAGTTTCAGTAAGATCACAGCTGAAGACAAAATGTCTGAGAGCCTGGCCACATTTGACCTTGCTTTCTCTCCACATATGTATACCAGTAAGCCACAGGAGATGCAAGGGATATAACAGAGCTACGTTTCTGAAGAAAGAAAAGCACCACAGTGTTCACAAGCATGAGCTCCTAATTCTGCAAGGAGAAGCTGGAATGTCCCCACAGTTGAGATCTCCAGATCAGGGAATGTTGAGCAATAGAGTTGCAACTGAAACACAAGCAGATAAGCAACATGCTGTGGTACCAAAACAAGAGAAATACTAATTCATATTACCCAACCAAACAACCTCCACAGAGGTCATAACAGATGTTTTCTCCTCTGCTCACAAAAGCAAAAGCTGTATTGTTGGCCTACTTTGTGATTTGCCTCTGCAGCACATAAACTAATTTTCATAGCAAAGAGCAGGGGGATGTGACAATTTTGTAACAAATATTTGTCACGTGGTACACACTGAGTAGGACCTTCTTTCCTCAGAAGGCAGTGAGGCCCTGGCTCTGCTGCCCAGAGGATTCCCCAGCCCTGGAGGTGCCCAATGCTGGGTTGGGTGGCGCCCTGGGCAGCCTGAGCTGGTGAGCGGCAGCCCGCCGACATCCAGGGGTTGGAAACAGATGAGCTGTAAGGTCCTTTCCAACCCAGTCCATTCCATGATCTCATGATTATCATTCCAAAGCCAATATTATATGTAAAGCAGCTACAAGCTCCACAGCACCTTATTCCACATTTTCTCCTGTGTAAAACACACTTTCTGAAGTAGCTGTCCCCAAAGAGGCTGGGACAGAAACAGAAGGAGGCTGAGAAATGTTCAGTGCCAACAGGCAGCAAGTGGGTCAGCCCTGGGATGCTTCAGCTGGAGGCCACCTTCCACTCAGCATCCATGCGTGTTGTCCTAATGCTGGGTTACGCATGTTTGGTTTTACAGCTCAGTTACAGCCACCAAGAGAAAGACACTTCGTGGCAATGATTAAAAGATCTTCAAAACAATTCATGTGGCTCCAAGGAAATACAAAGCATTTTAAAAATATCCAGATAGACAGAGATACGCAGTAGGAACTTGCAGTTTTACTGTGTAGTTTTACAATAGTGTAAGAACACAGTTGTGTCAACATGCTATTTTTTGTCACCATAAATTCAGTAAATTTAGCAACTTTCATTTTTTTAAACAGTGTCAGCATATTTAATGCCCTTCCCTCATCCTTCATAAAACCCACAGCTGTTCACTATCTTGAGAGGTGCATGAAGGAGGCCATAAACCCTAAATGTTCCTGCTGACACATTACGATGGAGCCAACGTTCACCATCACCATTTTCAGCCATGCACAAATATCACACCCAAGTGGGTAGCATTGATTTAAGTGGATATGGTGGTTAAGGATCAAGGGTTGGCCAAACACAGGTGTTTTCTAACCTTAACAATTTTATGAATGCATGCTAGAATTCATCAATGCTTTTTTTAAAAGGAGGAAAATTAAAAGAAATGGTAGAAAAATAGGAATAGAAAGAAGAAAAATGTGTTTAAAGTTAAATTTATACCCCTTGAATTGGAAATCTGAAGTGAAATCACACTTTACCAGTATTCATGTATTTTTGTAGATTGTAAAGCAAGTCTAGATCACTATCTCATCAGATTAATGCCCAACATAACGTCCAGAATTAAACAAAAGAAGGAGATATCAATTCAGATGTTTGGTTACCATCCATAATACACATTTGCATTAATATTTGGAAATAACAATCATTCATCATTTATGCTTTGCTGAGATTCTGCAGGTTTCAAAGTGAATACAGGAAAAAAAAAAAAAAAGAAAGAAAGAAAGAAAGAGGCAATGTTCTTTGTGCTGCTCTTTAAATTTTCCAACCAGCTAATCCATGATCTCATAGATTGGAAAGATTTCTTGTGGCAAAATAAAAGACAATACTGAGTCAGACGAATAATCTGCTTCCAGAGTATCTTCCAGTTTTTCAGCAATTTATTACTTTGCCAAATGTGAAGAAACATCTGAAGTACAGCCAACAAAAGGATGTGAACACTGTTTACAAGTAAGAATGATTTAAAAGATTTCTTAACTGTATATAAGGTAAAGCAGAATGGCATACTTACACTGCTAGTTGGAGGCAAGCATACTAAAATGCAGGCTGTTTTCTGATGGAAAACCTAAATCTGAATTGTAAATTAGTGATGTAGGAAATAAAGGATCTCACAGAATTAATAGCATTTTGCTTTTTAGGGTGGTTTTTTTGGGGGGGCGGGGGAGGAGAGAGAGGAAAAACAAAAACAGCAATGATAACACCACCAATAACATCAGAAAAACAATAAATAAAACCTGAATATCTATTTTTTCACTGTTGAACATCCATTGATTTTTGAGATGAGTAAGCTA